CACCTTGGTGGGTCTGTACTTCTCGACCCATGGGATGTCTGGGCCTGTCATATAAGACGAAGATGATGACGCCATCGATGGTTCGATTGAAGGATTAGGATTTCGGCTCTAGCGTTACGGTGGCGTTGTGACTTGTGAGCTAAATTCTTAGATTTTTTGGAGGGAACTGCAAAAGCGCTGTCCGACTCCGATAGGCTTCCAAATTCTGAAAACTTTAGAAGTACTACGTACATATTAACAAAATTGTTATATCAATTTGAAAAAAACTTTTGAAGAGTGTTTGTGATTGTTTGTACTTTTTAAAAGTGATTTTTTTAAGAAATTATTAAAAAAGTGAGTATAGTAAAAGTAGGTAGTGTGTGGGAATAGAAGTGATTTTAATTAAAGAGAAAAGGGACAAATAAGCCCATTAATTAAACAAAAAAGTCAAATAAACCCTTATATAAGAGCCTTTGTCCGGCCGTCGTCATTTGGGGTGGTTCTCGCTGGAATTTTTTGATGAATTTTTTTGAACATCTTATTCATTAAGTCTAGTTTACTCATACCAAATTTCAGCTAACAATTCAATCGGGAAGACATTCAAATGAATTCTTGAAGATAAATGCGCTTTTTAACACATTTTTTAAAATGCGTACATAACAATTAATTCTTGTAAAAACTTTACTTTTCAAAAAATTTTTGATCGTCTTTTTGATTCTTGTTACCGAATAAAATGCGTACGTATTAAACCTCATTCAATTCCCGTACCGTATTTAACTAACTATGATTCACGTCGCCATGCAAATTGCAATCGAGCACATCCGTCACCATTAATCCTACACTCCTTCAATCGATACTCCGGGATCTTCATCTTTGGAAGTGATGGATTCGTGACCTATCTCTGTTGTAACTTCTATCTCTATAGTCGCCATGTCCAGATTATGTCACAGTCGGTGTCTGCTTCTTTTCAGAGAGAGGCCGTCTCCAAGCATGCACCTTGAGGATTCTCGTCGATTCCACCTCGATCATTATACGTTGTTTGACTCTCCGCCATCACAATTTATTGGAGTTCTCAATCGGTGACCATTCGTCCCTCTATTCTAGATGTCCATGTTTCTTCCAAACTTCTATATTATGGCTCCACACACTAGTGGAAAAACGTTAAATAGAGGCGCTTCATTTGAGGCGCTTTTTAGCACAAGCGCCTCTGTTAGCCGAATGTATTAATTTTTTCATTTTTTTTGAATGTGTGCGGCGTTTTTGGGTGAAAAACGCCTCCATTTTGTTTCTGAAACAATTTTTTTAAAAAAAATAATGTACCGTGCGGCGCTTTCTTCTTATAAGCGCCTCCATTTTGATTCCCCGATTTGTGTTTTTACATGCGTGCGGCGTTTAAGTCGGAAGCGCCGTTGTTTTTTTAAAATTAAATCAAGCGTGCGGCGCTTTATGAAAAGCAAGCGCCTCCTCCAACTCTAACCCTAAGTCGCCCCTACACGCCAATTTCGATCGAAAAAACAGAGGACCAGCGGACCGACCAAGGCTATCTCATGCGTCGATTGAGCAGCCGCGCATACCAGCTAGAGGACCAAATCTTCACCGTCGCAAGCTGCTCCATTGCTGCCTCCGTACACTAGCCGTCGTCTTCTTCCTCTCAGGCGCTGCAAATCTTCACCGTCGACTTGACTTCTCCGGCCCTGCTCTCTCGCCGTCGACTGGTCGCTGCCGTCGTCTCCAGCCCGCCGTGGACTGCTCCGGCTCGCCGTGGACTGCTCCGGCCGCATCACATAGACAAAGGTCAATTACGTTTAGGTATATTTTAGTTGATTTCACTTTTATTTAATTTTCTTTTGAATGTTTTCGGATTAAAGTATATTTCCAATGATATCCATTGTTTCCATGTTTAGGCTTCCTTAGTTTTTAATCGAGTGGGAATTACATTTGACATTGATAAAGGTGAGTTTATTTGTTCATTTCTTTTGGCATATATATTTGATTTTTCATTTTTATTTGATTTTATTTGATTTTTTTGGACTGCTCCAGCTAACAGTTAATTGTAATTTATTAACTGTTTATTTGACATGGATATCAGTGTATTTTATTTGATGATAGTATGTGTAATTATTAATTGTATTATGGCATTATTGTGTATATCTTTTTTGTTTTTTTTAATGTGAAATGAAAAAGAGATGAAAATGTGACCTGCACGCTTATCCGATTAGAAAAAGAGAGAATCCCAAAAAGTAGAAGGTGGGGGGTTTGTTTCCAATATGAATTCATTTTCTTTGATTACAGGCAATGTGGTATGGTAAGGGAATAAGAACTGGTGCGGGAAAAATTTCCCAAATTAGGTATATCTGTTGCTGTCGGTTGTTTGTACAATTCTGCTCTTACATCTATCTAAATTCTAATCTGTTAATGTCTTTGTTTCTTGCGTCCATGCATTAGTTGCAGTTAATCATCTGGATTACCTGGGAGTACAAGTGGCATCGGTAACAGGGCCATGGTTCCTCTCTATATTCATGAACATGCTTCCTTGGGAAAGTGGTCTGGTTCATTCTCCATTAGCTAATCGTTAATTGATTATCTAAATCTATGATGCTTTCTATATAATTGTGAAAGATAAACTACAAAGTTGATATTTCAAAGTTTCATCTCATTATTCATTCATAAGTGTTGGGACCCAATGCTTCTCAAATGTTTGTTGAGAATCCATTTAAAGTAGTCTGCATATCTTTAAGTTTCTGTGCATGATTTTCCAGCTATGTAATTATGTCCATCACTTGTAGATCGCTAATCTAAAGTCATGTCTTTGATGTTTTTATTGGATTTAGTTCTCCGGGTCTGGGATGTCTTTGATGTAATTATGTCCCACTGCTTTCTGTTGTTTGAAACATAGTTTGTATGAACTGTTCTTTTTGCAGGTGGTATGGTTAAAGGTTGAACTGTGCAAGTTGCTTGAAGAAAAAAGATCTGCTGAACTAAGGTAATATCATCTTAGAGCAGTCTCCTTTTACTTCTGATTCCTACCAAAGTGATGTATATCCAACTTAACATTTGTTTAGGCCATTCCCCTACCCTATATATCTAAAGTTATGGCTTTGTAATTTCTAGTAGTGATTCTGAGTAAATGCAGAGTAAATGGTCACTAAAAAGAGATTAGTATTCTGCTGATGCTTTCAAAATTTTGTACTGTCTTGACTCTTGAGAAAGAAGTGGAATCATATTGGATGGAAAGCTCATGGTTTATGCTGCATTTATATAGTTATTCGGTGCATTTATGTGTTACACTTTTACAGCAAATCTGGCTTTCCTGTCTACAACCTAAAGTAGAGAATTGCTTTAACGTTGATTATAGCAAATCTGGTTATTGCTATAATCAACTAATTCTTAGAATCTGTGTTAATCTGATGAGGGGTGGATTGAAGTAGGGAACTTAATATTTCTTATACTTCAATAGGTGGATTTCATTAAATCATATAACTTATATATAATTTAGCTTCTCATTATTTATTTTATCTATATTTGTATGATTATTTTCAGCCTTTCAGGTTTGGAATGCAAGAATTGAGCCATATACAACGGAGGAGTTTGATGACATTAGAAAAGTATGGGCTAAGTTTTTTGTAGATGAAGTGTTGTGACTATGTAGAATTGTGAAAATTAAGCAAACTTGAATGTAATTTATTTCTATTGTGATGCAAATTTGTACCTTTTGAATTGAATTTGTACGAAACAATTCTATCGTTATTCTGGTTTTATGAATGAATGTGTTGTTTTGGTTTATAATTGATCTGTAAATAGAACAGGTTATATAGTAATTTAAATAAAATTATAAAAAATAATATTAACAATTGGAGGCACTTTTTATGACAAAAGCGCCTCTAAATAAGTTTACGGAGCAGATTTTGGAGGCGTTTTTGTGGTCAGAAGCGCCTCTAAATCAGTTTACGTAGCAGAGTTTGGAGGCGGCGAGGCGCTTTTTTCGTCAGAAGCGCCTCTAAATAGCGATATAAATTCAAAAAAAGAACATTAGAGGCGCTTCTAAAATACAAATCGCCTCTATTTAAGTCGTGCGTGCGGCGCTTTTTCTGACCGAAGCGCCGCAAAATTTCTAATTTTTTTTTTAAAAAAAAAATTAGAGGCGCTTCCAGTCTGAAAAGCGCCTCCAATTTAGATTTGCGGCACATTATTTAGAGGCGCTTCGAAGCGCCGCGCGTGGGCAATTTCAAGCGCCTCTGATCGGCGTTTTTGCACTAGTGACATTCTCAGGCTCATCCGATTTAAGGTTCTCATTAAAAAAGACATAGTTGTTTAAAGGGAAAGTTCCCGAAATAGGACTAAAATAGTTTGATAATTCCAAAATAGGACTGACATGTTTTTTTATCCCAAAATAGGAGTAATTACTGTCAAGTTTGGAAAATACCGGCATGTTTGAAGTCTGGTACTGCCAAAATATGACAGTAATTAGTTCTGTTTTGGGAATAAAAACATGACAATCTTATTTTGGAATTTTCAAATCTTTTTAGTCCTATTTCGGATAATATCTCTTGTTTAAATAATAACTAAATAAAGTAATTTATATATTTTTGAAGTGGTTTGTGTGGTTATATAATACTCGTATTACGAAGAAATTGATTATAAATGTGACGCTACGAGTATATTACACGTTGTATTTAATATGGAGTATTTGATGATTAAGTTTCATTCAAAAGTGTTAATCCGCATTATGCCACTTCTTTTGTTCTTTAATAATTATAACATTGTGATTTTTTTACTATTTACACACCTTACTTTTATCACAATTTTCTAATAATAATATAATCAAATAATCATGGACAAAATATTATTCAATCTTTTTAATGTATATTTAGAATATTGCTAGTAACTTTGTACATAGGGAGTAGTATTTACTAATACGTAATTAAATATAATTAGAGTTAAATTATTACCATTGACAAAAGAAAGAACAATATCTTGACCGTCATTTTACAAAAACTCACACCTTATTCAGCAATCAGCAATTCAGCATGAGGGAGGGAGGGGGAGATTTGTTAAAGAGATCTGAAATAGAGAGGAAAGCAGTGAAAAACTGAAAACTGAAAATTGAAGTTGGTCAAACTGTCAGAGTGGAAAAGAAAGCTAAACAGAAAAAGGCAAAAGAGGTCTGACTTCTCATGCTCGTCTTCGGCGCTCCTTGATTACCCGCCGCCGTGCGGACCAAGTCTCCATCCCTTCTCAGTTCTCATCTGTCGCGAGCTCGGCCGCTGGAAAGTGTTACCTGCAGGCGGGCTGAACTGACTCTAGACTTGAAATCACAGCGCGGGCCGCCGTCTCTGTTGAAGTGTATATGCACTCGGAAATGCTTTAGTGTATTCAGCTAGTTCACCCTCTACGAGAATTCCATGGAGGGTGCTTCATTGCTGCAGCGCTACCGTCGCGATCGCAGGAAGCTTCTAGAGTTTCTGTTATCGTCTGGCTTGATCAAAGAAATCCGAACGCCGTCCGGTTCTACTACCTCCGTCTCCAACGTTAACCTCGATGCTCTCAGCATCGATTACGTTCTCGAATGCATTCAATCCAGTAATTCTGATTCATTTATTCTTGCTTTACCTTCGTATTTCAAAATTTTGAGCACCCCATTTGTTCATTTTTTAAATTATTGATTTTTTTAATGCATAGGCCATGTGGTAGATGTATCTATAGCAAGCAAGAAACATCGGGAAGAACTCCAACGTCCAATAACGGTAATATTATATGTTACTAGGTAGTATTTTTTCATGAAGAAAATGGGTTGAAGTTCAGAGCTCAAAAAGAAAAATACAAGAAATAGCTCAAAATAGAAATAAAACATGGCTAAAGACAAAGTTCTAAAATAAGGTTAATGAGTGATATTTTGGGAAGAAAACAATGGTACTCATATTTCATTTGAGAAATAATGCTATGTTTACTTTTTCTCTTCAAAGAAACCGGTGCAGCTAAATAGGGATTATTTTATTCATTTCGAATTCTTCTTCAAGCAAGTATAACTATTTTTCATTATTTCATTTCGATATTAATTTTCCCTTTGTACTGGGATATTTCACAAGATCAAGGATACATCGCTGATATAGTGATACGGAGCATCATGAACAGCAGTAAACCTTATAAAGAGTTACACTGATGATAACCTTTCTGTGTGAACCACAAATTTTGATACATCAGCATTTCTGTGCAGATTCGTGCATCTAGTTTGTTTAGAAGGAATGGCCGTTTGGTTCATAGAGTTTGAGCAACAGTTAAAGGAGATACTGTATGCTTGATACTGTATGCTTGATAAACCTTCTTGCAGACTCAAGAGGCTGAGCCAGCACTCCTCTAAACCTATACTTGTCTTGGGCTGGACTGGAAGTAAAGAATAATTCATTTATATAAAATTTTATACTTAGAAAGATTTGACTGAACTTGGTGGGCTGGAGCCCGGTTAGGCCCCACCCCTAAGTCTGTCCCTATGTGGACTGCATATTTCAGTATGGTGTATGGAACTTGTTCTGGAATTCATTGTCACTACTTGCAGGTTGAGCAAGGATATATAGCATGCTTGCTTCTTATATTATTTTAATTAAATTGTGCCCCAAATAAGCCCGGCCACTGATCATGATTTACCTTACTATAACTGATTTAAGCTAGATGCATCGTTACTTGTGTTTAATGCATTTCTTTGTTGCATAATATTGAAGGATACTGGTGAAGTCTCAACTGCTCTATTCCTCTTCTCTTTCTCTTATTGAATATTTATGCTCTGGGCTTTTTTTTTTGTTTGGACTAAATATGCAATGTTTCATGTGTTTTGTTTATGCAGATGCAGTCACACTTTGGAGGCTCATATTTTGTTCTTTCAGGTACAGAAACAGCTGGTTCTCCTCCCAGGCGGGTGCCGCCTCCTATTGTAGCATACCAATTTAGTAATCATTCATCAATTGATTCTGATCTTCCAAGTTGTTTACCCGGTTACGAGTATGGGTTAAAACATGCCACTTCTGGATCAACAAAATCTGTTCCAAGGAATCGAGACCATATCCCTAAAATTGGATTACCTACCTTACATACAGGTATTTTTTCTTGAGTGTTTACCACTGAGAAAAAGAATGATATATGAAAACAAGCCATTCTGTACTACTCATTTTCTCTGTTACTATGTGGTGAAGGAGTGCCGAGCCTTATGTAGCTAACACTTAGTGCATTTGTTCAACATTATCCCCCTATTAATACATTTTTTGAGTGATACTGATACAAATTTTGGGATTCCTGAAGGATTATCGGATGATGACTTGAGGGAATCTGCTTATGAAATAATCCTTGCTTGCATGGCGCTTTCTGGGTAATTGCTCAGCCATGTTTCTGATGACATCTTCATTTATGTATTTGCAGTTAAATCTTTTTATATTTATGATGAATAAATTTGCACTTCAGATTGTCAACTGTCTCATATATAAATACCTGTTTTGCATTGGGAGTTTAGTAGTTTTATTACTCTGTTTCTTTTCTCAAAGCTTTATTTCTTGTACGAGTAGGACTGGACTTCATTTTAATGGGAGTAGAAAGAAAGAGAAGAACTCTGGACTTCTGGCTGGATTGAGGAATAAAAAGGGTAAAAGATACCTAAGGTCGGATTCTCCTGGTAGACTTTCGCAGCTCATTGATATTTTCCGATCACAGATGCAGGCATGTAGTTGATTTTTTATTTTATTTTATTTTATTTTTATATCTCTTCCATTTCTTCTATATTTTACTGAATTGTGCTGTTTTTTGTGATATTAATTCTAAGTTATAGTTTTTGTATGGCGTGTAAATCACTATTTCGGAAAAAAATGTGGTCATTTGTTTATTTTTCACCAAGGATAGTAAGATACAGATACCAAGGGATCTTCAGTGGTTATAAGTTGAACTTTTTTCAGGCTGTTAAAACTTAAAATACCACTTAAAATAATGTAAAACTTGATACAGTATATTTTAAAATTTGGTGTCCTGTTCTACGGTCTATTGGACCGAATGAAGACTTTTTTTAACACAAGAAATATTGCTTAAGAATTAAATTTTTCTTTGCGGTCTTTGCCTTTTACAAAGGTGCATCCATGCATAAGTTAGATACATGCAGAAAGAGGTCGCATATATCTACCATTTTTTTATGTTTTGTTGCTCATTTCTTAACTTCTTTTGGTTGCCGGAATAACTAAGGTTTTTTATTTACTAGATCTCAGAAGCCATGGATAATCTTACTCGACAACGTTTGGCTGCTTTTGCAGCAGAGAGATCTTGGGGACATATTGATGTTCCTCAGATAATATTGGGATTGTTGAATGGTGTGCTCAAGTCCGATTTTCAGAATGAGAAGTCATATATCCAATGGAAGAGAAGACAAGTACTAGTTACTTTTGTACCTTATTATGTTACATAGTTTGACTCTTAAATCAATCTCTCTGAAGAAGTGCTATTTGCGTGAATTCCATATGATCCAATAAGTGCTTCATAGATGGTATTTTTTTCTTTAGTACTTTCAATTAGAGAGATTTTATTAGTTCATTTTATTGGTCATTTTGTGTCGGGGCTTCCATTGAAAATTATCTTACTAATGATTTTTTGCTATAATCTTGTATGCTAACATATGATTCAAGTTAATTTACTAGTTTCGGTCCTATGGTTTGTCTTTGTAACTTTCATATGCGCATATTGTAGGCAAATATTCTTGAAGAACTTCTTTCTTCAGCTGAGTATGTCAACGATAAGAAGCAATCAGCTGAAACTTTGATTGAAAGAATTAGAAATCCTGAGGTACACTTATATCCTCACATTTTCTTGATGAAAATATTTCCCTTTTAAAGCAAAGAGTTCTTTTGTTCTTCAGGATTGGGACACTAGGATGTCTCCCTCCGAACGCTACGAAGTCTTATCTGCTATTAGGCATATTGCTCTGACACTATCAAGTATGCCACCCAAGTATGGCATTCGAGGTGAAAATTATTATTGGAGTGCTGGTTATCAGTTGAATATTCGGGTTTATGAGAAACTACTTGTTGGTTTGTTTGACATTCTTGAAGAGGACCACCTTATTGAGGTATTTTATTTTTCTTTGTAATTCTATATCAACTTTATGGCTTTATCTAATTCAATCTATTTCAGGAAGCTGCTGAGATCCTGAAGCTCCTCAAGTCATCTTGGTCAATGTTAGGCATTACTCAGAAACTCCATAATTTGATATATGCATGGGTGCTTTTTCAACAGGTAGACATGCTATGCATTTGGTATACTCTGTGCACCTTTAATTGTGGGATACAGTTCTGTATTGTACTTTTAGATGTCACCGCTATGTAGAGTTTTGACAAAACTTCTGATGCATTTTTTTTGCTGATTATAAAGTTTGTTGCGACAGATGAGGCAGTACTTTTAGACTACTCCATTCATGAAATGCTTAAAGTTTTGTCTGCTGAAGATGAGGATCATATGGAAGATAAATATATAGATGACCTATTATGTTTTACTACCTGGAATGGCTGCCAAACTAGATCAAGTTTCTTGCAATCTGCTATTTTCTCCATTAGTATCTGGTGTGACAGCATGTTGCAGGATTATCATCTGCATTTTGCCGAGGTCTGTGTTTTGTTTTGTTTCGTTTCTTCTTTCTTTGACATTTTGGTGTTGGTGTAGTTGGTAGGTCTTATCTCCTGGGAGGAATCAATTTCCAGCTGACATTCTTTCTACTTTTCAGAAACCTCATCTCCTTAAGGAGGTGATGAACATGCAGTTGATGGTTGAAGCATATAGTTTTGATTCATGTGACAAGAACAAGGTAACATAACTGGTTTAGACCACTGAAGTCTGTAAACCACCAAACCAAATACTAGTGCTATCTCAACAGAAGGGTAAATAACATGACACTTTTAAGTAACGTGAATAAAGCTAAATTAAACAATTTAGGTCTATAGAACAGTAAAACTTAATTTGTGACATGCTAACAAAAGACTATTGTAGTATATAATCATCTCATACATGCAACTGCATCTGATTATCTGATATATCCCCCCTTCTCACTATAACCCCATTCTGTAAAGTGCTATATATATATATATTTTACATATAATGATCCTTCCGTTCTTCTTTTACTCAACTGTATTCCTCAATCTTCATTTCTCTGAGCACACAGCATTATATATGTTTGCTCTCTGAGCACAATCCCAGGCATGTGAACTCATATTTACTTCATCAAATAGAGAACTATTTTTATTAGGCACAAGACAAAGGAAATTTGTCAAGTTTATTACATTCTGGCATTCTGCACAGGGGATTATCCTCTGGAACGCAATAACAAAGGTCCTTCCCCTGAAGTGGTTTCACTAGTTTTCCATTGATATCACTAGCAGTTCTAGTGGTTGCCTATGCTTTCCTTTTGCTATTTGTAGCAGTTTCAAACTAGCTCTACGTTCAAGGTATTGAGATAAGCTTCTCAAAAGAATGGTCTATTCATTTTCTGTTAATAGTTTTTGTAAGCCACTGATTTTGTGTGGAATCTGAACTTTGCATTATTCAATAAGGCATATCAATCTCTTCCTATTACGTTAAGTGACATAGTTCAGTACTTTGTTGGCTTTATGTATAGAGATAGCACACATACTTTCAGTTATTAAATTAGATTACAAAAGACTGAATAGTCTTATAGAGCCGTGCTACTATTTCTTTTTATGGTTTTTTGAATATTTCTTACTCTTTTGGTCAATATTTCACAACGCTACAACATTCACAAAAATATGGAGTACACGCCAATTTCTTCAGTAATACAGTGAAATGGATTGAATGGTAATTCAATACTATGAGTTTCTTCTTTTTAACTGAAAAATTGTCATGTGTTCCTAGGCTCGTAGCAAAATAGTAAGCTGTTGAACTTGCTTTGTGGTTTTTTGTTCCTAAACTTCCTACTTGTTGCAGTTCACAAATGTTGAAGTTCTGGATAGTATTCGTTATAGAAAGGTCAAAAATTATGTTGAAAGTTCGATAGAAGCTGCTTGCAAGAGGGTATGATATGAATAGCTATGCAAAAATGTTTAATATGGAGACCGATTACTTATTTAAAACATTGATGTGCTATGTCAATGATTTCAGGTAACTGATGCCGTAAGTCTTGGCCGTACAATAGACAGGACACATCATTTGACTTTGCTTGCATGTGAGCTAAAATTAATTTCTGAGATGGAGCTGACTCTGTTTTATCCGATCCTCCAAAAATTCATCCCTGATGCTGGAATTGTTTCTGCCTTGAAATTGCACAAAACTTACGGGGAAAGATTGGTATTTCCCCCTACTGTGTGAATTTGTATTTAGTGTCTTGTTGGTGAGGGTTATGATATTTCCTCTCTCCTTTTTGAACAGGAACCATTTCTCAATGATGTTTCATGCCTTTCTGAAGGTGTCAGGGAGGTGCTTACTGCTGCTATTCTATTGGAAAATCGCTTAATTGAGCTTTATACTTTGGGGAACAAAGATAGCACACTTCATTCCTCATGCACCAATGAATTTGTGCATTACAAGGTTCGTTCATTTTTTAATTTATGAAGTATTTTCAATAACTTTTTATTAATTAATTCTTTACTATTGTATATTAATGGAAGATTTATTGAAGCATATGCTTAGATTTGGAGGCATAGATTGCTATCTCTTCCATGTAAGTCTATGTGATATTCTTTACAAGAACAATGAGAGTGTTGTGGCATCCCGTTCGTTCTTGTTCTACTCGAAGAATTTTGGGAGGTGGTGGGTCTTTGAGCTTTGCCATGCTTTTAGGGGTTGTTTAGTTGCAACCTGGGTGGCTTAAGGCTTTATCTAGACCGTCATTCATATTTTCTGGACTTGCTTTCCATCTTACAATGTAATCAAAGACATTGTAAGTGGCCTCAGTCTATGCCTTTTCCCATTCAGAAGCTCTGAGAGATTGTCAAGCTGAAAGGCATATAAAGTATCACCATATGCAGAAAGAGTCCAAGTAAATCTTCTTACAATGCTCTCAAGCTTTTGGGCGCTGTTTAGTTGCAAACTGGTTGGCTTACAAGGGGTTAGTCTGATTGTCATTTACATAGTATATATTATGGACTTGCAGTCCATCTTACAGAGCAATCAAAATATCGAGTATTGGTATTGGGGATTTAAAGTGGCCTAATTCAATGCTTTTTCCCATGGAGAAACACTAAAAGCTGGAGTCAATTCGCATTGTTATCACTGACCTGCAGTCGTTCACAACATATATGAGAATGCAATACAAAGTTTAATGGAAATGCTTGATGAATAAAGATTATTGAATTGAATATGGCAGAAACGGAAGAAAAATGATGTACTATTGATTATCAACAGTACAAGTTGGCAAACATACAAGCAAGAGAGAACTCGTTGACTTTACTATTTGACCCCTAGGCTACTAAGTTTTACTGTCAGGAGATATAACATTATAACCACTCTGGATGTGTATAATTCCTAGGGAATATCAACAGTCCCTCTCTCAAGATGGATTATATATGATATACTTGATCCAGTGACTCACAGCTAGAAGCTTGAACAATATTACAAAATCACGGATGCTCACCATAGAATTTGAACCAATGATTTCCTGTTTGACTTAAATAGTTAAATTATGACAATGTGCAATTTAGCTTACCAAGGCGAGTTATGTGTAGCATGATAGAACACTGGTATTTCCGTTCCGGAACAGTAGAATTTTAGGAAGAATGGATCAAGAAATAGATCAAGAATTCTTTATTGGTGTAGATGAATGATTACAGAAGGAATACAGTAGTAACAGACAATTCGAGATGCCCAGTCTCCAAGTCTAAAGCCAACAGGACTAACAGCCTACTTCTTCTAGTTCTTAAGCTTCTATTTATAGTAATTTATCCACGCAGGGAACAACAGAACTAACTAACTAGTTAGTTATTACTAACTGTCTTTCTACTTCTCCTTTGGTAGACTTTTTTATAATATTGAACTGGCTGTCGTATTGATTTATTGAATGCCTATCATAGCACACCACTTGAGTAAAAACTTGATCATTATTCGCAAAAGTGGGAATATAGGACTTTATAAGATATGATCATGAGTGTCCACCTTACCTGGACGAAGAATAGCCAAAGCAAACTCTTTGAAGAGTTTGTCTTGTTCCTTCATTTGTGCATTATCTTGCATAGTCTTGCATACTGGGTATGTTTGGTTTGGTTTATAACACCTGAAGTTGACAATGTTTGAAACCAGTGAATATATGTATCCACCAGATATCATTGCTATGGAGAGATTTCACCATGACCGATTTTTGTGACACATTTTATAAGTCCTTTTAAATGCCATGGAGTTTCGACAATAAAGCTTCTGTATTTTGTCACGTGCTTTGGCATTTATCTTTGCCCAGCTGGTCTTGTTTATAGTGATGCCCTTCATAGCCTCCGTCAATTTACCGGATTTGACTATGTCCGTTACACCAAAGTTTTACGCGAGCAACCCAAGAGGGATAAATTCACTCTCCATCCGTTTGCCCATGGTGTTGTCAAAGAAAGAGGTTGAGGTAGAATGACACAGGTCATGAAATCGAACAAAAAAATAGGGCATCATCAATAAACTACAGTGACAGGTATAATCAAACTTAAGTGGGTTTTTCATGCCGAGGCTCTGAGTACTACAATATGCGTAGTATTTGATCTGATCTCTGAAATAGGATAAACCAAGGGAAAATATTGCAGGATACTGTGCATACCAAAAAACTAATGCATCAAGGGAAATTGCCCTAAATAGGAGTAAAAACGTTTTTGTATTCCAATTTTCCAAACTAGGACTATCATGTTTTTATTTCCTAAATAGGAGTAATTATTGCCAAGTTTCGGCAGTACCAGACTTCAAACATGGCATTATTTTCCAAATTTGACAGGGATTACTCTTATTTAGGGAATAAAAACTTGATAGTCCTATTTTGGAATTCTAAAACGTTTTTACTCCTATTTTGGGAATTCTCCAATACATCAACGTTTTTTTAATGGATGGAGATAGGTTTTGATACTACGTAAAGAAGGAAAGAAAAGATAAGGAAGGCTTACAAAATGTATTGCCATTCCTACCCCTATGGATACAAGGGACCTATATATATACGGCATATGCAGTATGCACACACACAAACTAAGGTAGTTCAACTATTATTTAGTATTTCAGTTATTTAGCTAAGTTCCTAACCATACTCAACAATATGAAACAAGCCGAACATATTTTGTTTGGCACCTTTGTATTATGTTTCTAGGTATAACCAGAGTATCAAAAGATTGTTGTTTTATGTTCATTATAAAAAGAATTTTCTATTTTGTAGTTTTGGCATTTAGTTTATCACAGTGGGGTTGTTACTATGCATTATCATTTTTTTACCGTGAGATTAGAATAGGGTGTGCAATAACCTGGTGATTTTTATACATTTCCAATGCCTCCACATCAAAGGCTTAAATTAATAACGGGGGAAGCACGTCAAAGAGAACATTCCTTGGCAGCTCTTCCTATGTGTGTTATGAGCGTGGTAGGGAAAAGGCACACTTGTTCATGATAGAGCCTATGGGGGAAGGGTCTCTCCCTTGAGAGAAAACCTATAAAATTGACCTTGTCAAAACCATATAATTAAGGTTGGAGCGATATGATATTATCAATAAAGCTTAACTCCTACTAAGTATTTTACTACTCACAAATGTTGGTCATCAATAACCAAGCATTCCAGCCCAGCTGGTTGTGAGGTTACCGTGCCTAGTGAGAGGTCTCGAGTTCGAAACCCGCTAGGCACATAAGGGTTTGAAACTCAATGGAGTGAGTTTCAGCACTGATTACTCCAGGCTCCCCCAGCTCCCCTCCCCCAGACCCCCTGTAGTAAAAAAATGTTGGTCATCAAGTAAATAGAGCCGTAATTGATTACAATTTGCAATAAACTTCTATTAGGAATATTTACTATGCAGTATATCATAGAAATTAATACTGAGAGGAAACTATTACTAATTACTAATAATAATAATAATAATAATTAACTGTTACCAGTACCAAAACTTATATTATTACTACTCCATCTGCGTACATGTCATGGAATCTAAGAGGAAAGTTGTAGAGGTAGCAAGGTTGTCACGGAGGCTATGTGAGGCGCGGCGCCAGCTAACTGCTTTATCGCTTACATGACTAGGTGACTGCCTAAGAGATAATCAGTCGATGAGAAATGATCCTGTCCAGCAGCCCCTGGTCCGAACACCGTCGCCTTTTGGGGCACTTCCCGATGGAATTTTTTGATGAAAGTTTTTGAGCATGTTCTTCATCAAGTCTAGTTTGTCCATACCAAATTTCAGCTCAAACATCGATCGGGAAGGCAGTCAAATCATTTTTTGAAGTTGACTGCATTTTTTTATGTATATTTTGGCGCAGTCAACTTCAAAAAATGATTTGACTGCCTTCCCCATCGAACTTTGAGCTGAAATTTGGTATGGATAAACTAGACTTGATGAAGAACATGCTCAAAAAATTTCATCAAAAATTTCCACCAAGAAGTGCCCCAAAAGGCAATGTTCGGACGGTGTTCGGACCGGGGGCTGCTGGACAGGATCATTTCTCATCAGTCGGCAAGTAAACATAATATAAAACATACTACGTAATACAAAACATTAACTTAAACCAAGAGTCTAATATCTATTTTTAATAACTGAAACTACAAAAGTTTAGCAAAAAGTACTATTGTGATTCATGTGACTGGTATTTGAAGAACAGGAAAAGAATCGTAAAGAAAAAATGAAATGCACATACAAATAAATAAAAGTGAAGAAAAGGGATGAAAGCAATAAGACAAGTAAGAGAGAAGATGCAAACTCGAGTGGAAAATCTAGGGCATCCCTATGAATGCATAGTTGATGCCTAACTGTCATCATTCATTGGTTGGCTCTCTTGAGGCAAGGTGCCAGCCATGGCGGTTGTGCTCCACCCCTTGGATGCCTAAGCTTCACCCAGATGACGCCATGGCAACTATGAGAACTGAGTAGTGAATAGAGTAAAAATGTAGTAGAGACGATTAAAGTAGGAAAAGTTAGAAAGAAAGATGAAAAAGTAGGAAAGTTGCCAAAATGGAAAGAGGAGAAAGTAATAATAAACTTCCATAAAAGGAAAGTGGAGAAATTAGAAGTGAAAATGAGTATTATTTAGGTCATATCAGCATACTTGTAGTAATTACCGCATGCCATTTTCATTCAATAACTCTGTTAAAGATTGGTTAGTTTACTGTCATCCCACCTCCCTTAGTTTCTGGCAGATTGGTGAGGTTACAAGGCCAATTATTCTTGATTGGGTAATTGCTCAGCATGCAAAAATTCTGGAGTGGACTTGCCGCGCCTTTGATCTTGAGGTATGTATTTAATGTGAATCAAACAATTGGACATAAATTATAGTTGATGTTGCCATGTGTCATACCTGTAGAAATATTATTGTGCATAATACAATTAATCTTCATCAGTGAAATGCTTCAGTTGGAGTTTTATCCTGTAGAATATCATACCATGTATCATTGTATATACTGCGTCATGCTGTGTATCTTTTTTCAAATTGAATTTCATTGTTTATATTTCCTATTTATTCACGTACAATTCCTTACTTGAAGTGTGTTTCTTAATCTACATTAAATGCACCAACATATGTGCTATAGAATACAATATTTGCAGGATTGGGAACCCTTATCGCATCAGCAAAAGCAAGCAGCTTCTGCTGTGGAAGTTTTTAGAATTACAGAGGAGGTGTGCCTTTATTGACCACACTGGCGTTAATTTGTGATGCTATTTAACCGCATAAAATTTTTCCATCATTTGCAATGGAGCCAAAGACTCATTTTTTGGCTTTGGAATATGATGGAATAAAGCAAAATGGCTCACTAAATTGTCTGCGTTTCTTTATTATGAGGTAGCAGTCATTCCATGCCATTTCCGACGCGATTTTCACTATGGGTCACTCGGAAACAGTCTCTTTGTGCTTTAGTACAAGGGTAAGACTGCGTACACCCAGCCCCCTTACCCCACCGTAGGTGGAAGCCTTTGTGGCAATGGGGTAATGATGATGATGATTTAACTGCATAAAATAATGGTAGTTAGCGCTGGCTCCTTGGTTAGCTTATGAAACATCTTTTAGCTTTTGATTCACTGTGAATATCTTCAATCTACCTTTTACATCCGTACCAAAATAAGTAGTATTTTAAATTAGACTCTTCTTGGTGAAGAGTTTTTATCAGTTTTTTTTTTTTTTTTGCCTTTAACAGTTATGAACTGATTTCCAACTTAAGAGTATTCTTGATTATTAGACCATCTTTGGCTATATCCAACCTAGGAGTTTTTCTTTGCATTTCAATTTACATACTTATTTGGCTATATCCAACTTGACATGCAGACAGTGGACCAGTTGTTTCAGATGGGGCATCTAGTGGATATTACTCACTTACAGGCTTTACTGTCTATAATATTTCACACTTTGGATGCCTACTTGAAGAAACTGGTTAGCCAGTTAGGTATTAACCGTATCATAATTAATTTTATACACTTTTGTCTGTCGTAGTTTAATTTTGTTGTTTCATGAGCTGCTTTTTGATGCATACCTTATTACCGTTCTTTCACCTCATGGCTTAAATAATTTAATCAGAAATATGTGTTTGCCTTGAAATTCCAAAAGATTCTTCTATATATATATATATATTTCCAATCAATGTACTGTTGTCATGTTAGGGCTTCTTACACTGAGAGTGCATTACAAGTGTGGACTAATACTAAGGAAGTGATGATATAGAGATCACTTGACTCTGCTAGTTCTTCATTCTGGTTTCTGTTGCAACCATCTCATGGGCATCTTGCTGCCTCGTTTTCAAACACTGCTGCCATAGAGATAGTTGGCCAAATGGCCATGCAGCAGAACCTGGCCTTTTGTTTTTGCTCCTATCCCATTTCTCTTTTTTACAGAGCCAGACTTTTGTGATTATCTTTACATATAAACTTCATTCAACAAGCCTTCGACTTCTAACTACAGACATCCATAACTACAAATTTCAATCTTAATGCACCATTTTTGACTTGCACACATTTTGAGCATTGACCATTTTGCCAATATGAATTTATGAGCTTTAAATTTTAGAGGCTTCTGTATTTGGGAGCTATAATTCTAGAAAGGGATAAAGCTCAAATTGGACACTATGGTTTCATCTGAATCTCATATTTGACACTAAGGTTTCAAATGGATCAAATTAGACACTATGATTTCATATCTATCTCATATTGGACACTAAAGTTTCATAATTCATAGGTTTTGGACACTCACTTATATTGGATAAAGATCAGATTGGACACTCACTTATATTGAATTATGAATCTTTAGTGTCCAATATGAGATACATATGAAACCATAGTGTCTAATTTGGTCCATTTAAAACCTTAGTGTCAAATATGAGATTCTAGTGAAACCATAGTGTCCAATGTGAGCCTTATCCCTTCTAGAAATATATGTGGAGGAATCTTCATTATACGAACAACATCCAAGCCTCAGTCCCAAACGATATTGGGGTCGGCTAACATGAATCGATACATGATATCACCAAAAGGAAAAGAAAGAAAATAAAGATAAAAAATATAAGCTATTATAAGAAAAGATAATATAAAAGAGATGAATATACATATAAAAGATAAAATAAAAAGGATAAAGTAATATTTATATATCAGGATGAAAATATAAAAGAAAAAGAAAAAAGAAGAAGAAGAAATAAAGAGGGGAAAAGGTGATACAAGATCACTCCTCCACACGAATACCCGCCCTCCATTTTGCTCTCTCCAAAGCCATACCCTCATCCAATCCAAGAAGAAGCATATCACTTCTGACTCCCCTAACCCACGTCTGTTTGGACCTTCCTCTCCCTCTCTTCCCTGCCTCTTCTCCACACATCTCAACTCGTCTGACAGGTGCATCACTCGGTCTTCTATGCACATGACCAAACCACCGTAGGCGCGACTCCCGCATCTTATCTACAATATCAATAGGTGCTACTCCTACCCTTTGTCTGATTGTCTCATTTCTCACGCGGTCCTTTCTAGTATGCCCACACATCCAACGCAGCATGCGCATCTCTGCCACACTCATCTTTTGAATGTGACATTGTTTCACCGCCCAACACTCCGTGCCATACAGTAATGCAGGCCTAATTGCTGTCCTATACAATTTACCCTTCAGTCTAGTCGGCATACCTCGATCACATAGAAATCCTGACGCACTCTTCCACTTCATCCACCCTGTTCTGATTCTATGTGATACATCTCCATCTAACTCACCATCCTTCTGAATTATGGAGCCCAAGTAACAGAACATATCGTTGACCGGTATCTCCTTACCATCTAAAGTAATTCCGCTATAACCACTGCTTCTACCTCCACCAAACTTGCACTCCATGTACTCTGTCTTGCTCCTACTTAGTCTGAGACCCTTGTTCTCCAATGTTTGTCGCCATACTTCCAACTTTGCTTTAACCCCTGATTGCGTCTCATCAATCAATACAATATCGTCGGCAAACATCATGCACCACGGTATATCATCTTGAATTGACTTTGTAAGTTCATCCATGACTTCATTATCTTTATCATAAAAAAATGTTGAAGATATATTGTAGAGATGTGTTGATTTCTTTGAGAAATTCTATTTTTGGGTGCTATCCATTTGAAGGGGATCTTCATCATTTCCAATGGAGCCAAAGACTCACTATTTTTGGCTTGGGAATATGAAAAAATAAAGCAAAATGACTCACTAAACTGTTTGCGCTTCTTTGTTATGAAGCAACAGTCAGTCCACGCAGTTTTCAATTCAATTTTCATCATGGGTCATTCGGAAACAGTCTCTTTATGCTTTAGTACAGGGGTAAGGCTGTGTATATCGGACCCCCTTACACCACCGTAGTCGGGAGCCTTTGCAACCTTGGGGTAATGGTGTTGATGTATTCATTTGAAGGGGCCCTCACATTTGAGCGTTGGCCAAATATGGGTTTTTTTCTCCAAATTAACTAAAATATTACTCATGGATAAAAATGCGATTACTTTATATATAAGAGAGTAAGAGACTAAATATGTCACTATTAGTATGTCATTGCGAGTGACCGCCACCCCCAGTGATCCCGCCCCTGCTATTGGTACTGCCCCACATGTCATTGTCACTAGCGGTGACTATTTCTGGCTATTTTTACAGGTGACTTTTCCAAAAAAAGTCTGGCCACCGAAGGTGGTTGACGGTGGTGGTTGGATCGTAGTGACAATTGAGAGGTCGGTGTGGGAGTGTGCTAGGGTTTGAGATAATTTTGTTCAAATTTGATTATTTGTTTGGAAATTTCAAAAGCGATTCAACTTTAGTCCAATGAAAAGATATGAGTTATGTTTTGGTCATTTTATCTTCCTTCCAATGTTTTGACATAGGTTTTATTTGCCTTTAGGTCTTCACCTTTCCAACTTAAAGCAGTATTTGTGTTTCGTCAAATACGAAGTACCATTGATCTGCCTGATTGTTTTTTGAACACGTTTCATACTGCAGTTGACATGCAGGATTTATATCCTCCAGTTCCTTCTTTGACGCGTTACAATGAGACAACATTTCCAATACTTAAAAGAAAATTGGCTGAAGCTGTGGTTCTTGATGATGGTGTGTACAACAAGTTGAATCAATTAACAATATCTAAACTCTGTGTCAGACTGAACACCCTTCAAGTAAGTGCAAGTGTGCAATTCTATCTGGTAGTCTGATGTGTCAAAACGATGCCACTATCTAGTTTTATTTGTTGTTTTGTGTAAATAACATACCGTTGTCCTATTCCTGCCAACATATAAACGTATCAGGGATATTTTTTGTTCAATAGGCTTCTGATTTCTGAGTTTCCTTGAGCACACTGACCATAACTTCAGAGCTTTTTCTATTGTCCATGGTTAATTTGAAAAAGATTATAGTTTGAGAGAAACAGGACTTGGATATATTTTGACACTTTATTTAACATGATAGTTCAATACTAGGGGGTTATGCACATCTTTTTATTCAAATGCCATTACAATAAAGGAAAAGGAAAAAGGCTGTTGATGCATGTCATGAGTATCAAACTTTCTTAATTGCTTCATCTTTTCATTTTGGTATGATAAGATGATCTCCTTGCTATTGTGATGCTTCTCTTTATGACTTCACCTTGTTCTTCCCATTAATATTGATGCATATTAAAATTGTAGAAACTATATGCATATTTGTGTGGTGTGTGTATTATTCATCTTCATTGTTTACAAATGCAGTATATACAGAGACAAATGACCACCCTCAAAGATGGCATAAGGAAGTCTTGGTCTACTATAAGAGTTTTTGCAGATACGATATGTTGTAAGTTCTCTCTGTAAGATTGTAGAGTCTGAACAACTCTTTGACCTATGTGGCTACGTAGGTACATTTTTGCGATTCTTCATAGCTCTTTCTATGCATTTTCCATTGTAGTTTATTTCATTGCCGACTATGATTGTTGTTTAGATTGACCCATGTGCATCATCTAGTATTTGCTGGCTCACAGCTTATTTAATTGACTAATTGCAATCTTCACTGATAGGGTACATAAAATATTACATTTAGAAAAGCAATTTGTTTTTGCAGATTCTACTAAGGAAAACTGTCATTGGATTAAATAGATGAGCAATACTTCATCCACTTCCTACATCTCTGCCATCGTTCACTTTCTTTATGCATCATGCCATCATTATTGTACTGGAGTCATTCTTGGCCTCTTTGCACTGTAGTCTTATTTGTTTGTTTGTTTGTTTTTTATTTTTTGTTTATGTGTGTTTATTTGTTTATGTGTGCGTGTGTCATACATTTGTTTATTTATTTACGTGGCTCTTTGTAATCATGACATCGTTACTGTACTGGAGTCATTCTTGGCCTCTTTGCACTGGAGTCTTATTTGTTTGTTTGTTTTGTTTTTTTGATTTTTTGTTTATGTGTGTGTGTTTGTTTATGTGTGCGTGTGTCATACATTTGTTTATTTATTTACGTGGCTCTTTGTAATCATGTGCAGTTGGCTCTTGGTGGTTTGTAATATATAAATTTATGAAATTAAAGTTCAGAATGAGAGGAACGATGATTTGAGTATCTTAGGCTCTTAGCATCTTCCTAGGCCGAATGTATGAATATTAAGTTCTGGATGAGGTTAGTGATTTTATAATAATGGCTTTACTAATGTTTATTCTCTTTCCTCTAGCTGAAGGAAAATCACCCGAGCATTCAAATGGAAATTCAGATATGTGTGACGAGTCAATAGATGAGCTTTTTGCAGCCACCTTCGATTGCATCAGAGACTCTGCTACTAATGCTATCCGAATTACATCTGAGCTTTTGGGTAAGATTGTACATCACAATATCAGTTGCTCCTTTTCATATGATAGGGATAGATCAAAGTATTTTATATATTTATTCCTGCACATTATGTTGGATGGTTTGTATTTTCAACCAAAAATGAAGATATATGAGATATCCCAAAGCTTTAGATATTTAATGATGTGAATATAGCTCCACAAATTAATTTGTCTTTATTTGTCTCAAAGCTTATGAGGTCAACCCAAACTAAGTAATGCAAAAAGAATTAAAGACATATTACTTTAAGGAATTATTCAATGATTTGCAAACCTCAATAGCTACACTGGAAATGAGACTTACCCTCTCTCTCTGCTTAACTTCCAGGTGCCAGAGTTGTGTTTTGGGATCTTAGGGAGTCATTTGTGTTTCATTTGTATCACAGCAGTGTGGAAGGCGCACGGCTTGAGAGCGTGCTTCCACAGTTTGACAATGTAAGAGGTCTATCGAGAATTCATCATGCCTCTCATCAACCCCAAAATTAAAAATTAAAAATAATAATAACGAGATTCCTTCCTTCTCACAAAAATATGCTTGTATGTGATTGTACGGGGATTAAGAGATGGTTGCTGCGGTACTTGAAATAATTAGTTCTATATCCATTTCCCATTTTCCCTATTTGTAAAGTTAACTTACTATTCAGTCCTATCTTTGAATTCTCGAGATGAAGAATTAAGTAGGGGTGACATCGAAAATTAAATGCACACCCAATATATATAAACTAGACTATCTTTGTGGGACAGACCAAAATATAATACAAGGCTGAACACTAAAGAAGGATAGGAAAATACCATATCACAAATTTTCAGTTCACTGCATCACGGTTTCCAAATTCCAATTTGAAGGCTATGGTTGTCCTGAATTAAGAAGTACTATATCACAGATTGTCGGATGAATGTTCAATTGCATCACGGTTTCCAAATTCCAAGTTGTCAGCTAGGATTTCCTGAATAACCATCTCCCATTCCTGGTTTTGTCATTACAGATTCTCAATAATATTTGCGGTTTGATTGATGATGCACTTAGAGACTTTGTTGTTTCACGTATTTACAAGTCATCCTTGGTATACTCTTTTACTCCTAAAAATTACTTGTAACAACTTTGTTTCGGGAGCCAACTCTGTTTTCATTGTGTAGGAAGGTTATATTTGGGTGTTATTGGATGGTGGACCTTCACGCGCTTTTTCTAATTCAGATGTTGCAATGATGGAAGAAGACCTCGGCATGCTGAAAGTAAGTTTTCTTTCTGTTCTTTTTTATGTGTTTATTTTCTAGTCCTTCATAATTCTAGAAGATATCTCTTCTTTAGCTAGGAAACTTCCCTTGATAAAGAAATGTGAGCTTGAATTTGATTAAAATGAATGTTCATTTCTTTACTTATTAGGATTTGTTTGTTGCTGATGGAGAAGGGCTTCCCCGGTCATTAGTCACAGAGGAAGCAAAAGCTGCACAACAAATAATAAGCTTGTTTTCCCTCCAGGTCTGGTACTTTAGAATAATTGAATTCTTAAACTTAAGTTAGCAGGTTCAAGTTGTGGGTTTTTTATATTGTTCCTTTTTACCATAGGCTGACTCTGTGATAAGAATGTTGATGACCTCTAGTCAACATATTTCAGTTGGACATGGCTTCCGTCAGAGCGGCTTTAGGAACTTGGGTGATGCCCAGACTTTAATGCGCGTATTATGTCACATGAAGGATGCAGATGCCTCAAAGTTCTTGAAGAGGCATTATAACCTTCCTGCGTCTTCAGGTACTATTGAATCTTCCTCCCTCCCTCCACGTCGCTCTCTTTCTAATCTGGAAATGGTGTTTTTTGTCCAGCTCTTCCAGTTTTGTACAATTTGGGTTGCTATGGTTGCTAATTGCTATATTGTCGAAGTTGGTGATTTATACACATTTGAGTTAAACACTGGAGTTTTATCACTCTAGGTTGTGAAGGGTAGGTCAATTATCAATTCGGGAATTACAAGAAACAAGTTACTAGTCCGTACTTGAAAGATTACAATTTATCATTTGAGAACATGAAATGTTAAAACTGATCTGGGTGCCACATAATAATAAAAATTTAATAATTTTTAGCAACATAGAGAAAAGGTCATAGTACAACCTTTTTAATTTCATCAGGTGTAACTATATTTAATGCTATTTGTTGGTATAACTAGATTTAACATATTTTATTAGTTTAGGACATTTTTACATTAAACATAATTTATTTATTTTTTTGTTCAAACAAGACTCTTTCTTTCAGTAGAAACTAAGTTTTCAAATACGGCTCTTTTATTTTGTTTTGCCAATTTATTTTTGTATTAGAAACAAGACGAGATAGAAGATGGAAATAGAATCATCTTACTCAGAATAGAAGTTTACAGAGTATTTATACAGTTGGCAACTAACTGACTTATCAGTTATTCTAACAGAAGCTTAACAGACTTAACGTACTGCATATCACAAAGAATACAAGTGTAAGAGAATATCTAGTATTCCTAATATTCCCCCTTCAAACTGAGGGTGATTGTTTTGGGAAATCAATGACACTCAGTTTGTCTCTATACTCAAGAAATGAAGATGCTGATAGAGGCTTGGTCAGCACATCTGCAATCTGCTGAGGAGCTGGGATATGAAGTACTTCAAGCTGCTTGAGTTTTACTTTCTCTCTGGGTGTGACAAAAGGAGCTTGAAGTTCTTTAAGTAGAAACTGAACCCATAAAATCTCTGATGAAGTGTCTGCTAAGCTTCTGTACTCAGCTTCTGCTGAGGATCTGGCTACCCGTAGTTGTTTCCTTGACCACCAGGAAATGATGTTAGGGCCTAGAAAGATGCATGACCCTGATGTTGATTTTCTATCTGTAGGATCTGATGCCCAGTCAGCATCACAGAAAGCAAAGATGGGTAGAGATGTGGTGGATAAAGGAAGAGGTTTGATGATCAGTCCATAAGTAACAATTCCAGAAAGATATCTGAGAATATGTTTCACTGCCTTCCAGTGCTCTTTTAAAGGTGCAGCCATGAACTGACATACTTTGTTCAGAGTAACTGTGTTCTGGTCTAGTTAGGGTAGCATACTGTAGGATTCCAACAATAGATCTATAATGAGATGGATCATGAAAGAAATCATTCCCTTCATTGGTGAGTTTGGAGCTACTCACCATGGGTGTTTTCACACCCTTGGAATAAGACATTCCAGCCTTTTCCAAGAGATCTCTGATGTACTTTGCTTGTGATAAGTGAAGAGAACCATCAGGAAGCCTTCTGACCTCAATTCCCAGAAAGAAATCAATATCTCCCAGATGTTTAAGAGAAAAGGAAGAGTCCAGCTTCTGAATTATCTGGTGAATGATAGCAGAGTTGTTCCCAATGACCAGAATGTCGTCTACATAGATTAGGATATAAATTTGTATGCCAGAGTTAAGGTACATAAGTAAGGAAGGGTCACACTTGCTCTGCTTGAACCCAGCACTATATAAGACTGAAGTGAGTTTCTGAAACCAAGCCCTGGGAGCTTGTTTGAGACCATACAGAGACTTGTGTAGTCTGCAAACAAGTGAAGTATCCTGATGCTGAAATCCAGGTGGTTGAGTCATGTAAACCTCTTCCTCAAGTTCCCCATTGAGGAAGGCATTGTTTACATCAAGCTGCTGGATAGACCATTTATGAGAGATGGGCAAGTGTGAGAAGAATTCTGATAGTGATAGGTTTAACAACTGGAGAAAATGTTTCCCCAAAGTCAAACCCAAACCTCTGATGAAACCCTTTGGCCACTAATCTTGCTTTGAACTTATTAACAGAACCATCTGCATTTTCCTTAACTCTAAACACCCACTTGCAACCAATTGCCTGTTTGCCTGCTATCAAAGCATTATACTCAGACTGCATTGCTGCAAACCAAGGTGGAGAGGAAAGTGCCTGCTTAACTGATTTAGGCTCAACATGAGTCAACAGTAAGGTGAGATTAAGTCTAGGTTTTACAATCCCAGATTTGGATCTGGTTTGCATGGGATGAAGATTTTGGATTGGAACAGAAGAAGTAGAAGAAGATGATGAAGCAGATGGTGTAGAAAAAGAGTTATTGTTGGTATTGGGTTGAGGATGAGAAGTAGGGATGGTATTCTGAGAAGAAGTAGGATTGGATTGAGTGTCAGGACTGAGAATGTGATTGTCAGTACTTAGAGTATGTTGGTTATTGGTGGGAATGGTATTATCAGTTATGGAAATATGATGGTTATTGCTGGATGTGTTAGTCTGAGATGAGGATGAGGAGGCAGAATGAGAAGTATTGACAGATGAAGATGTGGAAGGATGGAGAATGGTGATGGGAGCACTAGAGAGTACTGGGACAGTTGAGGTGTTGGGAGATGTAGAGGGAAATAAAGTGAGATATGGAAATTTGGTTTCAATAAAGATAACATCCTTGGACAGATAGACTTTTCCACATGGTGAAAGACATTTATAGCCTTTATGGTTCGAGGAATACCCTAAAAAGATTCACTCCTTGGATTGGTAATCAAGTTTATGCTTATTGTAGGGTCGAATGAAAGGGTAACAAACACACCCAAAGACCTTAAGAAAAGAGTAATCAGGAATAGTGCCATATAGTTTGAAGAAGGGGCTGAGATTGGAGATGGATTTTGAAGGTAGTCTGTTAACAAGATGGACAGCTGTAGCAAAGGCAGTGTCCCAGAATTTGAAAGGTAAAGATGAGCGGGCTAAAAGGCATAAACCTTTTTCAACAATGGTGCGATGTTTTCGTTCAACCACACCATTTTGATGGTGTGTGTGTGGGCAAATGATTCTATGGGTGATACCCTTGTTAGTGAGAAACTGGGAGAAAGATCTAAACTCACCTCCCCAGTCAGATTGGACAGATTTGATGGATGTTTTGAACTGAGTTAACGCATAGTTATAAAAATTCTGAAATGCTATGAAAGCATCAGACTTCTTTTTGAGAAAATAGATCCATGTGTATTTTGTGAATGCATCAATAAAGGAGATGTAGTAAGAATAACCATCAAAGGATTGAATAGGAGCTGGGGCCCACAAATCAGTATAAATGAGTTCAAAAGGAAAATGGTATATAGTGGGAGATGGATAAGAAGGAAGCCTGTGAGCTTTCCCAAGACAACATGCAGAACAAAAGTCAACAGCATGTTTATTGATAAGAGAGATATTACACATGTTTAATACAGACTTTAGAGCCTCTAAATGAGGATGACCCAATCTTAAATGCCAAACATTACAAGAGTCATTTGACTGAGTTTTATTACATGTGGATACAAAAGAAGTAGGACACATAGATCTATCTAATGACATGTTGGATGTGTTGGCAGTAGACTGATGAGACCCAAGAGCTGGAAAGGACACAAACTTGTATAGACCATCATCACCAAGTTTGCCATAGAGCAGAATCTGTTTAGAAACCTGGGATTTGACAAAACACTCATGAGGATGAAATTCAAAGAAGGCATTGTTATCCTTGGCAAACTGGCTAACACTTAAGAGATTTTTAGTTATTGCAGGAACATGTAAGATGTCATTTAAAGATAATGAAAGAGATGAGTGATAGGGAGAGGGAAAGGATGAAAAACCAATAGACTTAATCTCCAAACCTTGGCCATTGCCCATGAAAAGCTTATCAGTTGAAGCAATAGGCTCACTATGTTGCAGATTGAGAGGATCAGCAGTGACATGGTGTGTGGCACCTGAGTCTGGGAACCAATTCTGAGTGTGAGGTGCTGGTCCAAGAATAGAAGTGTTTGCAGAAGCCCAAGCTGCAGTAGGGGTAACATTGGTAGGGATAGAGGTATAAGGAGAGGAAGATAATCCCCAGTTGAAAGGTGGTATTGCAGAAGGATTGGGTGGATGCCCTGGTGTGGGGGCTTGTTGATTGTGATTAGGATATGGATTAGGTGCTGAAAAAGGAAAGTGTGATAGTGGCTGATAGGGTTGTGACTGATAGGGAATGTGAGGTACTTGATTAGTTTGAGGGTTAGGGTTTGGTGCAGCATAAGCAGGATTGTACCTGTGATAGCAAATAAGAGCATTGTGGCCATTTTTGCCACACACTTGACAGGTTATTTGATTTCTACCACCTGAACGTCCGCCTCTGCCTCTATGAAAACCTCCTCGACCTCTGCCTCTGAAGGAAGAGTTGTTACTAGGGTTATCAAAATGAGCCAGTTGAGCTGAAGCGTGTTCTGAAGTGTTCTGAGTGACAGCTTCAGTATGTTCAGAGGAGGATTCAGCTTGAGCAACATTAGCAGAAAATAAAGTTTGCTGCGAAGAATCACCAAGTTTTCTGAGACGGAGTTCCTTTGCCATCAAGAGACCTTCAAGTTCAGATAAGGTGTCAGGTTCTGAAGGACTACGAGAGGTGACAGATGAAATCAACGACTCATAATCCTCAGGAAGACCTTTAAGGATCACATTAATGTGATCCTTGGTAGATATAGGTTCACCAACAGAGGTCAGGTTATCAACAATAGTCTGTATTCGAAGCAAATAGTCGGATATTGATCGATCACCTTTTCCGGTGTTATAAAGTTCCGATTTCAGTTGACGAGCCCTCACGATGATGCTAGAACGGAAGAATTTCTGAATTTCACTCCAAAGTTCATGCGAGTGTTTGCAGTTGATGACACGAGCATGAAGCGATTCAGAGAGCGAAGCTAGGAGCCAGGAAAACAGCATTTGATCCTGTTGCTCCCAAACATTGTATGCTTCATTCACAATTTTTGCTCCATCTTCAGCAGCAACGAATCGATCTGGAATCTGAGGTTTTTCTATGAATTTGAGAAGCTTGTGAGCTCGTACAACTGATTGAACGTGATGACGCCAGAACAGGAAGTTGTTGGAATCGAGTTTAACCGGAAGAGGATGATGAAAAATCACAGGAGAATTTGGTGAGGTAGTGATAGGAACCCGAGCCTAATAGACTAATAATAATAATAAGGGACCGGGCCTATTAGAGTATTAATAGTAATAAGTGTATTAGTTAGTATAAATAGATGATAGCAGGGAGGAGTTGAGGGGCTTTTTGGGACTTTGGTCTGGGAACTGGGAAGATTAGAGACTGACGATCTCTTCTCTTTTGGGAGGCTTCTGCCTAGGTCACTGTACTGCTCATCTTCTTTGATAAAGAATTTCAGTTTGTTTCTTGATAATAATTCCTGTAATTGCTGAAATCTTGGAGGACTCTATCATTGGTATCAGAGCTCTACTTCCTGGAGACCGAGAATCTGAACGATGGAAGAATTCTGTACGCCAGAAATGGAGGAGAGGTTGGATTCGCTGGAAAGGAAGATCGATAGAAGCCGGAAGGAGTTAAATGCGAAATTCGAAGAATCAAAGGCGAAGTTCGAGGAATTAATAGCGAAGATGAAGTCTGGCTTCGCGGAGATTAAGAACCAGAAGAAAGAACATTTGAAGAATCGATCGCACACTTCTTCCAGGTCGCATCGCGACTCTCATCATCTATCTTCGGAGGCGGACATCGCAAAGTTGGAGAATAAGGTCCAGAGTAGTTCGCGACACACATCGCACAAGTCGCACCACGCGAATCAGTCTTCGCATCGCTCTTCGGAAAGTTCTCGCCATCGCTCTTCGCATAGCTCTTCTCGTCATACTTCGCATCATCCTTCGCGAAGGTCATCCAATCCAGAGGAATCGGAAGGGAATTTTGACTACTCTCCTACGCATCGCAACTCTCATCATCGACACTCAGTTAGTTCAGAACGATCGAGGAACAACAGACTTCATCCGCCTTCAGACAAGCAAGGTCCGTCGCAGTCGTTCACCATCTCGCGGTCGGAGTCACGAACTAGTTCTAGTTCGCAATCGCGAAATAAGTCCTCACCGGCTAACTGTTCAAGTCCAAGAAAGACGCGATGGAGTGGAGAATCTTCGTCTTCACCAGTAAATTCTCACTCGTCGCCTTCTTCGTTTCAAGTAGCTCCTCTGGATTCTAAAGCAAATTCTTCGGGACCTCTGGTTTCTACGCAAGCAGAAGACTTCAGCTCGAAATCTTTATTTGAATACCTAGAGTCAGAACAGGAGTTGGTTAATCAGAAGCAACCATACACGGAAGCTACACAAACTTATGGCGAAGAGGAAGACATTGATAAATCTTCAGTTCATCTTGGACCTGAAGCTGGAGCAATTGCTCGTTCCCTCACTTGTGACAATCTTTCCAGTTGGAATAACAACAGCAAAGATTGGAACTCTTTGAGAGGAAGTGAACTTCCTTCATCTAGCAAGATTGGAACCAAAGAATTAGGGCTGATGTATTTGGTAAGGAAGGAACTGATTTTGTATTCTCGTCCACAGTGTTGCTTGGTTCCTGGGTTGCTTCATACTAGCAAAGATTGTGCAAAATTGAAGATAGTTTGGATTTTCCCCCTCTTTGTTTCAAGAAATCAAGTAAAAATGGATTCTCCTTTTGAGGAACAAGCATTGGCAGAGAGATTTTGGTGGCATATGCCTATGGGAGTTGTTTGGAGGAATGATGTTAGGTATACTCGAAGTGCAGCAGAGGATGGCATTGTTTTGCTGAAAAACATTATGAAAGTCAATCACAATTCAATGGGAGAAAAGTCAAATGTAGTTGAAACAATTGGTAGGTCCAAAATTTCTGATAAGCAGATTAAAGTGGATGTTCAGGACATGAACACCAATTCTGCTACGGTTGTTCTTGAGTTTGTTCTTGAATACCAGTGGGGTAGAGTCTATGCGGATCTAGACTCAATTATTCAAGCTGCTTCACTTAAGATTACCCAGAATGAACAAATCAGGGATTTATCTGTAAAACTAGAAATTGTTAATGGGATGCAAGCTGAAGTGAATGCTCAACCTTATAAAAAGGTCTTCTGCTTCAAGGATTCCGAAGTGAATTGTTCCAGTTGTGGAATTTTAACGGAATACAAGATAGTTGATATTGTTGGAAATATAAAAATGGAGCCCTACTTGTTTGGACCAAGAAAGTTGGAGGCAGATCCAGTTAGGGAAGCAAGGAGAATTCAGGAATGTTTCTATCGGGGGCTGTTTATCTTTGAAAACAAGAGAAACAGTTTTATCTTTGAAAAATATTTTGATGCTAAAGATACAGAGGCTAGAAAGAGTGAAGGAAGAATCTATATTACAGAGAAGGTGATGAATGAAGATCAGTATCAGCAGGAACAGAACCACCTGAATAGTATGGATGCTTTGAAAAGAGAGGATCTAGTGCTGTTTCTGCTAGAAGTGAGGATGAATATTCACGAATGGAAACTCCTTGACCAACCTACAGTCATGTATTGGGAAGGAAGAGGAGCAAGGAAGAAGAGGAAGAAGCAGAAGATTGTGGCTTTCTCCTATTACCCACCTTGAGGACAAGGTGGATGTTTTGGGGGGAAGTATTGATAGGAACCCGAGCCTAATAGACTAATAATAATAATAAGGGACCGGGCCTATTAGAGTATTAATAGTAATAAGTGTATTAGTTAGTATAAATAGATGATAGCAGGGAGGAGTTGAGGGGCTTTTTGGGACTTTGGTCTGGGAACTGGGAAGATTAGAGACTGACGATCTCTTCTCTTTTGGGAGGCTTCTGCCTAGGTCACTGTTGATCGAGTGCGAAGAATCAGAAGAGGAAATCGTCATGGTTGATCGAGCTGAAGCTCTGATACAATATTAGAAACAAGACGAGATAGAAGATGGAAATAGAATCATCTTACTCAGAATAGAAGTTTACAAAGTATTTATACAGTTGGCAACTAACTGACTTATCAGTTATTCTAACAGAAGCTTAACAGACTTGACGCACTGCATATCACAAAGAATACAAGTGTAAGAGAATATCTAGTATTCCTAATATTTTGGATTTTTTTTTTGAAATAATTTCATTTTGATTTGTACTTTTTTGTTTTATAATTTATTATTGGGAGAAGGAACTTGTATACCCTAAACTAGAGGGCTGTTCTCATCAGGCCGGCCTGACGGGCTGCCCCGTCCGGCCGAGCCCGTTTGGGCACCTTCCCGGTGGAATTTTTTGATGAAATTTTTTGAGCATGTTCCTCATCAAGTCTAGTTTGTCCATACCAAATTTCAGCTCAAAATTCGATTGGGAAGGTCGTCAAATGATTTTTGCACGTTAACTGGTCCGGAAAATACATATTCCGGACCAGTTAACTTGCAAAAATCATTTGACGACCTTCCCGATCGAATTTTGAGCTGAAATTTGGTATGGACAAACTAGACTTGATGATGAACATGCCCAAAAAATTTCATCAAAAAATTCCACCGGGAAGGTGCCCAAACGGGCTCGGCCGGACGGGGCAGCCCGTCAGGCCGGCCTGACATGAAGTTTTCTCCCCTAAACTATATGCCCGAGAACATATATACCGCTCAACTTTGTTTTGGAACAATGAAACACAAAAGTTATAAAGTTGGAACAAGTACACCTTTGATCTTTATATCAGAGAAGATGTATACTCAACCATTTTTTTGCTCAATCATTCCAAAAAAAGTTGAGAGGCATCCTTATTCTGCGACATGTAATTCAGGGGCGTTAACGTATAAGTTTCTTCTCCCATTATTGTTTGAAACTAAATCTTTCTAACCTGTTATTTTCAATCTGTCCAATGTTTTAATTTCATATGGCAGCCAAGTCAGATTCCAGTTAGAGATTTTTACTTATAGTGCTAACCTTTTTCTTTGTTTCATCGAATCTAATCTTTAAAGTTCTGGGTCGATAATATTTGTCTTTCTTTTGAATTGATAATCCTGATAAATTTTCTTTAAAACCATATTGTATTATACTGTGCTTGTGAAGTCCATCACATCAAGCTACTGAAATAGTTATTGCTTTTGTGAGAGCAGAGTATGAGGAAAATGCTGTGGGGCAGTCGGTTTCTAGTTCACCTCTGCTGGCGGATCTTATAAAGAGAAGTGCGTCGCTTCGCTTCTCTGACAATGGCAGCAGCAGTTTTAGTTCTATAAAGAAAAAATTTCTCGGATCTTAGGCAGTGACTAACTCTTTCTGCCTTTTACACCCCAAGGGATGAAACACTTTGAGAGAGAGAGAGACGTGGTTGCAGACATTACCTAACATATTTCCAACCCCTGTGTCATCCACACTTTTTGTTTTGTTCATGATGGCTGCTGCTGGTGAGTGATGTGATGATGGTTGTCTTGCTCAATGCTCTACTTGAATGATGCATATAGTTACAGACAATGCAATCGTTTTTCTGTGTTGTCAAAGGCTGGATTACAGCATCTGATAATCCATATACGGACTATGAAATATAATCCTGAAGAACGTATCTGATTTTGATGATTGAAGCAATGAATCCAATGATCATCAGATATTTATATATCTTTGAAGAAGTTATGATAGATTTTTTTTCTCTGGGCGCTTGTTTTTTGTTATTCATAGTTTTAACCCATAGATGCCTGGTATCCAATAACTATAGACTTATATTGAGATGGGGAGAGCATGTCTAATATATGGATTCCTTATCTCGTATATTAGTGTTCGATAATGACATTATGTAAGCAACTAATATGTCATTTAATGTTGATGATTATTTCAATAAGAAACCTATTTCAGTGGTGGTTGTAATATTTCAGTGCCCATAAAATTCTTCCAACTTTCCTTTTTAGATCGTCTAAAAAATCACTTACCATTTTTGGACAATTTGTGTGTTTCACATTCATTTTACCCTTTTCTCTACAATCATATGTTTTCATTTTTTTTCTCATTATCTTAATATGCTTGCCATTTTGCCAAGTCAATGTGAGAAGTGTTTTTTGGAATCGAGGAAGTATCATACTCTGGGGTAGTTTTTAGTTATCAATGCTATCTATATCTTGGAATATAGAATAATATGCAAACAATATAGAAAAAGATTTTCACGGATGCTAGTGGAATACATGCGACCATATCAGCGAGATGGATTTAAGGAGTCGCAAGGGGCGGCCTTCCCTTTAAATTTTTAAAATTTTCTATTATATTCGCCCTCTTTAACTTTTAGTTTTTAAAATTTTACTCCCTCCGTCCCAGGGAGAAGTTCCCACTTTCTTTTTTTGGTAGTCCCAACAAAAAGTTTCCATTTCCCTAAATGGAAAGTTATTTTACATCAAAACAGTGTCAAACAGTGCAAAACAGTGCCAAACAGTGTCGAAACAGTGCCAAACAGTGTCGAAACAGTGCCAAATAGTAAAATTTACCCGTCAGTAACTTTATTTCCTAAATATGTGTGAAAGTCAACCCGGGAACTTCTCCCTGGGACGGAGGGAGTATATAGAATCTAAAATAATTTACATAACTTAAACAAATAAACAACAAAGTAATTCATTGTTCAAGATTTAGGATATTTATTATATAAAAATACATAGTTTTGTAACGTTTGATTGCCACACACTAGTTAAACACCTTTTAAATTATGTGAATTGAATTCAAACTATAAATGTTTGTTGATGACACTTAAAATTAAATTACAATTCGATTTACTTCTTACTTTTTAAAAACAATTTATTGCATAAACATCAACTTATTTTATTTTAGCAATAGTACATATATGATGTGCACCATATATATATATATATGTATATGTATATATGTATATATATATATATATATATATATATGTATAGAGAAATCATCTCATCAGGCCGGCCTGACGGGCTGCCCCGTCCGGCCGAGCCCGTTTGGGCACCTTCCCGGTGGAATTTTTTGATGAAATTTTTTGAGCATGTTCCTCATCAAGTCTAGTTTGTCCATACCAAATTTCAGCTCAAAATTCGATCGGGAAGGTCGTCAAATGATTTTTGCAAGTTAACTGGTCCGGAATATGTATTTTCCGGACCAGTTAACTTGCAAAAATCATTTGACGACCTTCCCGATCGAATTTTGAGCTGAAATTTGGTATGGACAAACTAGACTTGATGAGGAACATGCTCAAAAAATTTCATCAAAAAATTCCACCGGGAAGGTGCCCAAACGGGCTCGGCCGGACGGGGCAGCCCGTCAGGCCGGCCTGATGAGAAGAGCTCTCTATATGTATATATGTATGTATGTATGTATGTATGTATGTCTGCAATATAATATGATTCCAAAAATAATGATCTCATGCATACTATCGTAATATTAAGAAAATTTATCTTGACTCACAAACATTCTTCTTGGTTGACGAAAATTGTAATTCAAAAATAAATCATTTATTTCGATAAGATTCATGTGATTAAACAAATCAGAAGTCGTTTAAAAAGTATTGATGGGTGTATACCTTTTACTTTTTATATTCATATAATTTAATAAAATATTATATACCTTTTTTAATTTTCAAATAATTTTCCTTGGATTTGTCATTTCTTATGTTTTAATGTACCAATTTTTTCTAGAGCACTTTAATTATAAAATCAAAGTTATTTTTCATTGTATAAACATCGAATGTAATAGATTTGAATGTCGTCATGTAGGGGTGTGCATAACGGTTTGGTTTAACCGAACTGTACCAAACTGAACTAAATCGAACCGAAACCGGACCGTATGTAATTTAGTTTGATTTTGGTAGTATATCTTTCAAACCGTATTAAACCGAATCGAACCAAAACCGATAAAAACTGAACAAAATCGAACCGAACTAAAGAAATTAAAAAAATCCTTCATATTTTATTAAAAAAATAACAAATCCAAACCGAATAAAACCGAACCAAACAAAACCGAAAAATAGTATGGTTTTTGTTAATTGGTAATAATTCTTCCAACCCGTTCCAAACCGAATCGAAATCGATAAAAACCGAACCGCAAACCAATAAAAACCGAACTGCAAACCGATATGCCCAACCCTATCGTCATGCATCTATTAATGGATTTTTTTTTTGAATAAAAAATAGCCGCAGAGCCCTAGACCAACCAAAAAAATTCGATCCGCTACACTAGTGGATATCCCTCCCATCCCCACACAAGCGAAAGAAATTTCACCACTACACTGATGAAAAAATTTCGTCCCCCTTATTTCGAAATCCTTGGTCCGTCCTTGCATGTGCGACTGGGGTAGTAAGGTGTTAATCTTCTGCATTGTCATTCACAGTTTAGTATGTTTAAGTCTAGTCTAATCTGAAATAAGTTCAAGTAAAAAAATTATGAGAAATTAAGTCTTTTAAAGTGTAACTATTCAGAATTAGTAATGAGAGAACATTGGCAGATAACTAAAAAATTAGTAACAAAAGTGTAACTATTCAAGAATTCTTTAGAACTTCAAGAACACATTAATGGTGAATTTACAATTGAAAATACAAAAAAAGTAACGAGACAGTTAGAGAAGTATCAATTTCTCAATCTAATCGCAATTGAATACTTACCTACTCCTTATTCTTTACTTCCTTATATTATTATCTATAATCATATTCTATGTCAGGGTCCCTCCAATCTTATTATTAATAGCATATATATGTTCAGGTCCCTATCAATACTCCCCTCTTTGATAACCGCCTTGTTCTCAAGGTGGGTGATAGGAAACAATCCTGATTTTCAGCTTCCTATTCATCCTTGCGCCTCTTCCTTCCAAGGAGCTTCCATACTTGAATCTTCCTCATGTCTTCTTCTAGCAAACGCCTCAATGGATCCTCTATCTTCAGAGCATCAGTACCACTTGGGTGGCTTTGAAACTGAGCTTTACCAATCACCAACTGCTTGATTCTTTCATTTGTTAACAACTCTTACCACAAGACATAACCCAAGCCGTTGGTTTGTAATTGCTTCACTCCTTGAAATTGTAGCATCTGACATGTAGTATTCTTTGGGGCTAATAAGAACAACATGAACTTCAATTACAATAGCTTGAATAGTAAAGTCCACATTCACATTGGTTCCACCCCACTGATATTTTAAATTAAAGTTGATAATATGACTGTGATTCTTAAAATTGTCAACAACACCAAACTCTTTTATTTCATTTTTTTCTCAACACTGCTATCAAGAGCAAATAACTAACTATTTTTTGTTTTGCATTATAATGAAATAAAGCAAAATGACTCACTAAATTATCTGCGCTTCTTTGTTATGAACTATGTAGCACTCATACCGGTACGCGGAAACGCGGAAACGCGGAAACGCGGAAACGGGTACGGGAATACGTCAAAACCAAAAAAAGTAGGATACGGATACGGGGCCATATTTATAAATATTAAAAGTTATGGGGGTGTATTTACAAATATTAAAAGTTATAGGGGTCTATTTATAAATATTAAAAATAGATTTTTTTTGAAAATATATATATATATATATATATATATATATATATACACACACACACACACATATAATATCCTATGATGTCTACCCATTCATTGCATTGAAGCATTTTCCTTTTTCAAGATACTTAGTAATAAATTCATAATATTTCTCATATACACTAGTCATCTCGAAATATAAATATAGTCAATAAGTCATTAATTTAAAATGAGAAATAAGTCAAACAACTACAATCTTGAAATTAAAAGTGCAAGTATCCAATTCGGAGTATGAGTTAATGACTTAATTCGGATATAGCCATATAGGCCCATTATTTGATTACCAAGTAAAATGTAGTTTTAGATTTTCATTTTTGTTTAGAATTTTATTAAGTAAATTTTGGGATTTTTTTTTAAAAAAGTTGATACGGGTATCCGTCAGGATACGAGTATCGGAAACTTTCAAAAAATTACAAAAAAAAAATGGAAACTTTTAAAAATTGCAGATACGGCCCGGGAACGTACGGTACGGGTATCCTAGAGTATCGGATACGGGAACGTATCGGATACGCCGATACGCTACCCTAGCGAAGTATCCGTGCTTCATAGGTTATGAAGCAATAGTTGGTTCATGCAATTTTTGAAGCCATTTTCACTATGGGTCACTCGGAAACAGTCTCTTTGTGCTTCAGTAGTACAAGAACAAGATTGCAATTTTTTTTCCTTTTGCGGCACTGGGGTAATGATAATAATGACTGCTATCAAGAGCAAAATTACTAGACAATTTCAGCTCAAAATCTGAAGAGTCCAAAGATAGAAGCATGACAATCTTGTGTTCGTTAGCATCCTAAAAAAGTGATTTTAGAGAAAATTCTTAGTTGTAAAAGTTAGTATTGTTCGAGAAGAAATGTTTTTGAAAGAGTAAAATTCATAGTATTTGATAAAAAATGTTTTAAATGTAACATTTCTTCCGTCCAAAATTAGTCAAACCATTCATTTTATTCACTTAATTAGGTCATCATGTTTTAATTATATTTTATTTTGGTTTTTGCATCTTTAAAAAATATTTCAATATAGTTTTTGAATGTGTAAATTTTAGTCATTCAAAATTGATTTAATTATTAATAAAAAGGATTTAACTTTAATATTGGTTGATAAAAATGTTGAAATTACAAATAATTTAGGATGAAGGGAGTAGAAAAAGTGAAAAGTAGTTAAAACACTCTCCACAAGTTATCAATTTTTAGCTTTTAAGAATGACTTTATCAACTATCACTTCAACAATTAATTCAGCCGTTTTAAGTTAAAAGGTGAAAAAAAAATTATTGGCAAAATTGACATTAATAATCCCTACTTTTACATATTTTTCAAAAATAATCCCTACTCATAAATTTCACAAAAATATTCCCTACTAGTTAACCGTTTCATAGAAATAATCCGGGTCCAAACAGTATTAACTTTTCCATTTTGTTTTTAATATTTAATATATCAATGCTAAAATATTTATATAAAATAATAATATTATATTTGAGTTTAATCTTTTCCTACCATAAATTTAATTTAATATTTAATATTTTTCATAAAACATAATAGAATATATGTATTTAATATTCTTCATAATTTGTATTAATATTTAATATAGTATTACTAAAATGACTTTGAAATCTCTATTATAATGAATAACAAAAATGAATATAAATAAAAATATGATAAAGAACGAAAGAGAATAAAGAATTTGAAGAGTATGTACTATGTAGTGTTCAAATATTTCTATGATGTTTTATGAAAAATATTGAATATTAAATTAAATTTTTAATAGAAACAAGATCTCAAATATAATATTATCAATGTTTATATATATTTTCGCTTCAATATATCTAAATTTAAAATAAACTAAATAAAGGAAAACTTAAAAGCATTAGCACTCAGTTTATTTTTGTAAAACAGTTAAGTAGTTGAGATTATTGATGGGAACTTTTCAAGTAGGAATTATTTTTGTAAAATGTGTAAAAGTAGGGATTATTGGTGTCAATTTTTTCCCTTTTTATTTTACGTTTTTGCAAAGACTCACTATGTATCTCATACGAACTTCGTTAAGTAAAAGACTATGCAAAGAAAAGTTCTTTACAATTTAGGTTAAAGGATGTTTTCTTGTGGACTATTTTTAGTTCCAAATCAGACCAGACCAGACAAGACAAGACTAGACCAGACCAGACTTCCGTAGTTATAAAATACGCAGAGACCAGACGTTTACCAGACCACACCAATAAATTCCAGTCCAAAAGAAAACATCCTAAATAAATAAGTAATAGTTTCATAGCTCTAATGATGATTTAATAATGAGACACGCCTAAACATCACAATTATTTTTTTTATCATCAAATCCAACATTTATATATTAAAATAAAATCATTAGGAAACGGATCGTTACAACAAACTCAAAAAGACCAATCCTGACAAGAGTTATCCCTAATCAACTATCACAATCAACCTTATGGCTAGACTCTGAGACGATCACCCTGAAAGAGCAATGTGCATCGCTAACCACCAAGCGGGTGTGACACATCAATCACTGGTCAAATAGATCCTTCTAATGACATAATATCTAGCAGAATTGATAATCATTATTGTAGACCTAAAACTCCTCAAAAGAAAACGAAACACCGTAAACAAATATAACACGAAAATAAGATCATAAAAATTAGAATAACTGACAAATACACCAAACTTCTTTCTGACTCTTTGCCTGAAATATCAACTTCCAAACCCTGACATCTCGATCAATCCAAGGCGGCGATTCAGGAGGGGGACGAATCACCGATCTATATTCGCCCTTGCTCAGCCCTTCGTCGCTCCCCCTCTGTTCATCACCTGTGCCGAGGCCCGAAACCAAATCTGTCAACAATTGATTTGTGGCTAGATTGCGAATACCCCCGCCTCTTGCTTACTGCATCCCCTTGATGTACATTAGATCTAGACTAACACAAAAAGAATGGCTGAAATCGGCCCCGCTCCTCGGCGCAAACCGATGCGGACGAACGGCTTTAGCAGTAGCACCTAACGGCGAACCCTAGAGAGAGGAAACATTGTAGTACACCTCCTTAAAAAGCACTCTAGAAGTCTAGAGAAGAAGAGCCGCGCAAACAATTGGCGGAAAGAAACCTTACACGACGGTAAAATCGCTAGGGAGACAAAACCCTACGCGATGGCGAAACTGCTAGAGAAAAACGTTGATTAGGGTTAGCATACCAAGTATTATTTGACCAAATTATCAACGTTTTGTAAGGCCGGCCAAATCATCAAACATCACAATTATATAACACACATTAACAATCAAGAAAACATATTAATCATTACTTTGATCATATAAAGATATGGTTTCAGATCTACTGAGGTTGACTGTAAGAAACAAAAAATGTTAATGCATTTCTTTACCCCATCGCCTCCCAAAAATAAGTTTCTTTGACATTCTTAATTTGTTAATGCTTTCAACGCTTTGTTAGTATTATACGGTTCGTGAATAATATAATAATACGTACGTTCGTGTACAATACGATACAACTATATAAAATACGGCTAAATATATATTTCATACGTTCGTGAAATGAATAAAGATACGAACATGTTTTAAACGTTTTACAATTTAAAAATACGGCATATAATACATGCCTTATATACTAATTTAATGATGAGAATAAAGAGTAATTTAGCATATGCACCACATTCTTCAACAACTTAAAATGTACAAAATAGTTTTTTTATATATGAATTTAAATTCAAAGGTACAATAAGTAATAAAAATGATATCACCTATTTGTGTAGAAGTAGAGAGATATCTCTAGAGAATAGATTATATTATTGTGGCCGTAAATTTGGTGAGTCGCCGTAATATTATTTTCTCTTTGAAGTCTTCATATTAGTGGAGAACAAGAGTATCACAATAGTAGCACAATAATAATATCGAAACAAATTATGATTTTAAGAAGCTAATTCATTAAATCTGATGACTATTAAACAATTAATGAACGTATAAGACATAATAATATTTTAAGCAATATAAATAGTATCGAGCAGCTAGACATATCGCTTCACTTGTACTACTCCATAAGGCTTCAATTTAATGGTGTTGTTTAAATAAAATACGTATCAATACGTACGGTACGTGTATTATACATTTTATCCTTAAAGTACGTGAACTTTTCAATATTTTTTGAAAAATTCATAAACGGGAGTATTGTATGCGAATTATACGTTTGAGTGTATTATACGTCAATTATACGCGGATAAACTAAGAGAGCTTCAACGTGCTATTAATAATAAAAAGAGCATGTTTAATCGCAAGAGTAATTAATAATTGTTGTTGTATGCAAATCACTTTTTCTACTAATCACTTTTTCCTTACATCTCCAAAAGTGCTTTTATTTAAGCAGAAACAGTTGCAAACACTTCTCTCAGTATACACATCAAACGATAAGAAGTCAAATGACAATTATAAAAGATTGTATACAAAGTTTAAGGCGAAATTAAGGAGTGTTTGGCTTAAAAAAAGTTGAAAAGAGTGTTTTCAAATGATAGCTTCTGCTTAAATTAATCACTTAAAAGTTAAAAACTGGAAGCAGGTAGAAGGGTGCTTTAAACTGCTTCTCACTTTTTCTATTACACAAAAAGTACTTATTTTACCAAACACTACCAACTTTTACTTTTTCAGAATCATTTTTTTCTCAAACACTACCAACTTTTACTATTAATCACTTTTCCCAAAATCACTTTAAAAAATCACTTTTTAAAAGTTGAAGCAATCACAGACACTCCGTAATTTCGCATCGTGCAAGAAAGTAGTACTTCAATAAAAAATACTCCGTAACTTGCTATAGAAAACCAAGCCCGCCTTCCTTGGTGTAGAAGAGAACTTCGAGAAATATTCCAGTGACTGCAGTTTTAAACTTAGGTTCTACGGAGTATTAATCTTCCTGAGGTTCATCTTCCGTATTATATAAGTATTCTCTCATGACCTACTTGTTTGATATTGTTTAAGTTGATTTTGCAGTTTGATTTTGTATAAGTTGATTATGCAGATGTTTAAAAAAATCCTTTTTATTTGGGAGAAATGATATAAAAGATTTCTTGCAGCCTACTTATTCAGAATTTTATTTTTGAAAGTTTTCCTTTTTGTTTACTCTGGCCTCGTTTATGATCGCCATTGGGGATGTCTTGCCATTGCACCCAAGGAACACGGCTGACCCTTCTTAGTAAGGGTGAAGCTATCATTTTACCAATTAGTCATCATCTCCATCGGTCTTTATTCAGTGTATCTTTTGAGTTCTCATTATCGTGCTGGAGATGTTTGATAAAATGCCGTTGTGACAGGCATACAAATTTTGGTAATTCAATCTCTGCGTCTTGTTATACTGACTAGTAAACCTAGTTACCATCAGGAATATTTGTTTATTCATTCGGTTGTTGGCATTATATTGTGGCAGTACATCTGATTTTGAGGCAATAACTAGCATTATATTTGTCTGAGTTAATATGATGTTTATGATCTCTTTAAAGTTTAAACTATATATCTAATACTACGGCTTAATTTGCAGTCTGCCATTGTTAAAGAGGGTTAGGCCTTTTTGTGTTGTCCCATCACGTATGGTTGGCACTTCAGATGAAATAGCTGTTTCTTAGCCAAGCCCAAAATCATGCCTTCTTTATCTGCAACGAGGGCCTTTCAACTCTTCGGGGATTCATTTTCACTGAGAAATCTTTCCATCCGGCTTACTAGAATATCTCCACTCAATGACAGAGTAAGGTTTTTAAGTGACTATGGTCCTCTTACCCTAGCGAGCCTTGGATTGAAGAATGGAGTTAATGGACAGAATGCCAAAAATAAGCTCCTGTTGGGCGTTTCCACAATTGAAGTTCCTAAAGGTATGATTGGATCATGGAAAATGCTAGGGAAAGAAAAGAAGTTAAAAATGTCTAGGAAAGTTATTATCTTATACTTCATACTTGGTTGTACCTTAGAAAGTGGAGAAGAAAACTAATTATATTTAGTTTTTTATAATTTTGTTTACACATATTTATAGTCTGTTTGGTAATAGATATTTGGCTAAAATGGTTGAATCTTCTGGAAATCTGCGTCTAACAAAGTGGAATTTAGCCAAATAAGAAAGGCAAAGTCTAGAAAATCTGATTATCTGGTTGATATTCTGAATAAGCCAGTTAATACTACCAAATGGGGACTTGCTTTTTTAGTCTATTTATAATTTACATGCCCAAATAAGATTGGGTATAAAATGCATCTATAAAAACAAAAGCTGAGTTTTAATATACTACCTCCGTCCCAACGTAGTTTCTCGTTGAAAAATGGCACGATTATTTAGACAGTAATTGAATAAGGTTATTGAGTTATTCAAGCATATTTTGAGAAGTACTTTCGATGGATATACTACGTGTAATATAATTGTGATGTTATAGGTCTATGAATTTATATTTGATGATTAAGTTATCATCTAAGATGCTAATTATTTCCTAAAACAGAATTGTGAACATTTAGCTGGGGCGTTTAAAAGAGGCACATGAGAAGCTTAAGCAGACTGTAAGAGTAACTTTAAATTGGAGGGAGTATATTTTATTATCTATGACATATTCACATTTTATTTCCATCTAATATCCTTCCTACCTCCTCCCCAGTTTCTTCCTGGGCTCAAACAGACTGTAGGAGTAACACCACAAGAAAGGTAAACAGTGGAAGAAGCATTGGAGTGAAAGAGACAAAGTCCACAGGCATAGGGGAAGCATCAGCACCACCGTACGCTGCAAAGTCTTTCTCTGAGCTTGGCCTTCCCCAATTACTGATTGAAAGACTTGAGAAGGAAGGGTTTAATGATCCAACAGATGTTCAAGCTTCTGCAATTCCAACTATTCTGGAAAATCATGATGTCGTGATTCAGTCATATACTGGCTCAGGAAAAACATTGGCATATCTTCTTCCAATACTCTCCCACATTGTTTTCCCTATAAATGGTGCATCTTCTTCAAGCAGAACAGATATCAAAGCTGTTATTGTAGCTCCCTCCAGGGAACTTGGTATGCAGATTGTCAGGGAAGCGGAGAGGCTTTTGGGACCCAACAAGAAAATGGTTCAACAGCTTGTTGGTGGAGCAAACCGGTCCAGACAGGAAGAAGCACTCAAGAAAAACAAACCGTCCATAGTAATCGGTACTCCTGGTCGGATTGCGGAAATGAGTGCATCCGGGAAGCTTCACACTCACGGGTGCCGCTACTTGGTCTTAGATGAAGTTGATGAGCTTCTCTCATTCAATTTCCGGGAGGACATGCAGCGGATACTGGATCATGTGGGGACAAAACGATCTGGTGCGGTTTCAACTATTTAATTACTCCTATAAATAGTTTATTACCTCTATCTCAAATGGTTTCTCCCTTTCTGGGTTATGAGGGCTTTACTGAAGTTAAAGGTAAATATTCCCTAATAGTATTTAAATATTACTAATAGTTGAAGTCTACATTAGAAATTAAACTACGGGGTATAAATTCTTTGAACTGCAAAAGCTAACTTAGAATGTGATGGAAATTTAATACACAAATTTAAAGAATAAAAAGAATTTGGTTGTCCATTTGAATGGTAAAAGGGACAAACAAATTGGGGACAGAAGGAGTACAACATACTATAACAACTTTATCATCTCAAATTTCCTCACAGATCTAAAGGTGTGACTGGTTAGGCTCACAGAAACTGGCAATCACATATTAGAAAACATTTTTAAGTAACACTCCAGACGTCCTGAAACAAAGTGTCACATATGACAAAGGTACAACTCTCGTAAACCATGAACCATATTTATATATTTGTTGATTTAAATAAATGTGTCATAGCAACTCTCTCTATGACTTTTTATTATCTTTTGACAAATGATGTAAAATTAGCTTCTATTCATTTTTTGGGATAAACAGGTACTAAGGGAGTGATTCAATTCTTAGGTCAGAGGTTGCTGGCTCAATATGTAGAATTTTCTGAAAGGAAAAATTCAATCAAATGAGTAACACAAAGTCTGCTTGATTATGCTCATTTTTATTATTCTGCTTATTCTACTGATAAGCATAATAAGCCAATTATTGCTACCACGTGGGGACTTGAGTATCTCATAATAGGTGTGGCACCTAGCAGTATAGCATGACTACCCAATAAAAAATGAATCAATGTTGCAAACGAACCTCTTAGTTACTATTACCATGTAAATACAATCCTTCCACCAATCCCACATTCCCACATACCACTTGAGTTGAGTTCATGTGGTTGAAGAAGTTGAAGCTACTTACCCAGCTTCCCCTTGAATTCAATTACAATCATACATTTAACACGAGTTAAATTCATGTAGTGCAGGACCCCATGGTTCAGGCAATATACTTGTGAAGAACCATGCTTCCCGCCAAACCATCATGGTCTCTGCAACAGTCCCGTTTTCTGTTACAAGAGCCGCACGAAGCTGGGGTTGGGACCCACTCCTTGTTCATGACAACAGGGTTGTCCCCCTTGATTCCATGTCTCCTCCTGGACTAAATCCTTCCAACTCACAGGCCCAGCCTGCCATCCAGAGCTTACCGCCTAATCTAAACCATTACTATTGTGTCACGAGGATACAACACAAAGTTGACATGCTAAGAAGATGCATTCACGCTCTGGAAGCCAAATCTGTGATTGCATTTATGAACCATAGTAAACAACTGAAAGATGCCGTTTATAAACTAGAAGCCCGAGGCATAAATGCTTCAGAACTGCATGGTGATCTTAGCAAGTTAGCAAGATCGACGATTTTGAAGAAATTTAGGAATGGAGATGTTAGGGTTTTGGTAACGAGCGAGCTTTCTGCTAGAGGATTGGATGTGCCTGAATGTGATCTTGTTGTGAATCTGGAGTTGCCTACCGATTCTGTCCACTATGCACACAGAGCTGGTCGGACGGGGAGGCTTGGAAGGAAGGGTAATGTGGTTACTATATGTGAGGAGCCTGAAGTATTTGTTGTAAGAAAGCTGAGGAAGCAGCTTAGTATCCCAATTCAAATTTGTGAGTTCGCTGAAGGAAAACTTGTTATTACTGAAGAGTAATTAACTAAGGTTTTACTGTAGTTATTTCTGTTGAGTTTGCAAGAGATGGTATGCAAGCAAACAAGTGTCCCTTTGTTTTGGTGGAATATTAACTTTAGCAGTGGATTACTTTGCTGGCTAGTCTATGGATACATGCCAATCGATGGGTGAAAATCTTTGTATTTTTTTAGCCTTTGAGGTATATACATTTGAATATGAAAGTACTTCATATGAATATCTGTGGATTCATGAATTTTCAAGTTTTCTCTTTATATTATCACTTCAACTCTTGGGAAGAATCTACAATTTGTGGCTGGCATACGGCATTTTGAAGCAGAGCTAATCATATGCTCTTAAGTCATAAAACTCTTAATCATGTTTTTATACCTCCAATTATGTTGTACGGAGTATTTGGTTTTCAAAATCTTCTCGTCTCTCCTACCCTTTGATCATTCTTTATATGAACATCTCAATCATTCACCATCTTCATTAAATCTTTTCCAACTGTCCAATCCTTTTATTCATATAGTAAAGAAAGACTTGAAAGATAGTATAAAAGTTTTCTATATTAAAGTGTTATACTCTCTACTCTTGAGAAGAATCCACAACATGTCGAGGACATAAATGCCTATTCTATAAAGCTAATCATTTAAGCAAGATTTCTAGTTTAGAAGTATACGTTCAAAGTTCAACATAGAAATCCATTGGGTGAATGCGAATTGCATCTTAGTAGATTCATACTCTCCTTTTCGAGAAGATAAGTTTGATACATTTATTAATTTGATAAATATACGATAGTATAATATAATTAGCCATTGATGATACGTTGATGTTACATATGTATTATTTTTAATATTTGATGATTAAATTGTCATTTAAGAGTATTATTTTTTTAAAAAAAATAGAAATGAGAAATTCCTGTTACTTGACTTGCAAGAGCATTTTAGAGTTAGCTAGAAACTAGAGTAACAAAGACGAGTCATTGAAAATTTAGATGTCAACAGAAAGTATAATACTTTTGGAAAAATCTACTTATATTTGTACACACAATTTGTACACTTTTTTGTACACACACCCTCTAGTTGTCTGTGTAAACAGGCAACAATGAAAAGGCAGCATTTGTCTTCCAATTGCATGTGTACACATGCAGTGTATAGTTTGTGTACAAATAGTGTGTACAGCAAGAATAACCCAATATTTGTATGTTATTTTACTTATTTGCTATTATCTTTCCTTTTGTATTTATATTTGTGCCTTGTATGTCTATATTAGTGACTCAAATTAATGAGTGCATAAATCACTATCGGTGAACAAGTTATGAAAGAAAAGAAATTTGTTGTTTTTGTAAGAGCGTATTTGGTTGCAAGTCCTGCAGAGAAGAAGGCAAGTAGTGATACTGATTCTAGTTCGTTTTCAAGTTTATATGGTAGGAAAGAAAATGATCCTAATTAATATGGCAGGAAACACAATGGAGTGCCTATTTTTCCTTTTTCTTTTTTTTCTTTTTTTCTTTTTTTCTTTTTTTCCTTTTTACTCCAGGGGGTCCGGGGGAGGGGGCTAGGGGGAGCCTGGAGTAATCAGGGCCGAAACTCACTCCATTGAATTTTCAAACCCTTGTGTGCCTAGCGGGTTTCGAAGTTCGAACTCGAGACCTCTCACTAGGCACGGTAACCTCACAACCAGCTGGACTTGAATGCTTAGTTACACAAGTACATGATATACCGAATGATATATTATTTCAATCGCACTCAACTTTATCAGAGTTGGTATACCGTGGGAGCGACTCATGGTGAGCATCCTGCTCCCTGGCTTTCTTTTTAATTTATTTTATTTTAGCAGCAAACAAATGCAACTCATGTTTAAAGTAATTTAACTTATATTGATAAGAAATGTAACTTGAGTCAAGTTGAAATGTAAGTTATCTAAAATCGAATGTAAGAAGTAAAACATTGATTTCAAGGTAAATAATGAAAAAAAGAGTCTAATAGCTCTATTGTTTTACATAAGTAGTGTATATGCTTTGTTTTCTAATATCAGGACCATTGCAAACAATTTTTTTTAAAAAAATAACTTTCCATAAAACTTTCTGGGATAAGTTCATATGTAATTCGCGGGTATGAAAATGTGACTTTAAGGCAAAACGAAATGTAAATCACGTGATTGAAAATGTAACTTGCCATATCGAAATTGAAGTGCAATTTCTTTTCCCCTGGGCTGATTCTTTGCACAAGATTGAAGAAAAAGCAGAGACAAGCAGAGACATGTTTTTACAAGCTGGAACACATGCGTAGGGCTTCTTCAATTATTGTGGGGAGATAAAGAAGCTTTCTCTTCCGGTACCGAGAGGTCTCAATTCCGGATTCAAAGAAGCAAACCGAGGAAAAATCATTTGGATTGGTATGAGACTACTCTACACGAATTACGATTAACAGAGGCTTTTCACGCTTTCCATGGCTCCAAATAGAATCTGTGAGGGGAGGGATGAACGGCTTGCTTGACAGTTGGGAACAAAGATGACGACTATTTTTAATTAAATGGCTCAGTTTAGGAATCGGCCCACCGTGCGTATGGTGGGCGGATCCCACGGTATAATTTGCGACTTTATCAAATTTATATTGAATGAGAAAATAAAAAAAATAAAAACTATGTGATTGAGATTTGTGTAGAGAATAGAAAAATAAATAGAATCACAAATTCTTGACTATGTTTTTTGGAACTAACAAAAAGTCAAATTTGGTAAAATCCCGTGATACCGAAGGAGTAGTTTAATTTTTTTGTACACAATTATTTCTAATTTTAAATTTGCATATAGTGAAAAGGTAGTAAAATAAGCCCAACTTACCTGGTACCTTCTCATCAAATCTATAACCTCCAAACCGATCCTATTGTTTTTCCACTCAATGACGTAACGTAATTCCCTTGATCCTTTTCATCCAGTCGTCCATTCGATCGTGGCAATTCAAAGTGACACAAAACATCACGAGTCGTACTAGAGAAATTGAGATCAAAATTGCTATTGGTACCCCAAATCCTACCCCATTTTGTACCCCCTCCCTAGTTTTGTGGTTAAAAAAAAGCAATGAATTAAGTGGGGCAATTATTTTGTGGGGTTGGGGTTTTGTGAGCCACTCATATAGTGAGGTACAAATGGGGTACCCCATTTTGGGGTACCTCTGGCATTTCTCAATTGAGATTATATTATCTTAAGTGTGGTCAAATATAATTCACAATAAATTGAAAAACTGTAAAATAAAAAGCCCAAATAAAAGATCTTAATTGATCTCCAACTAGAAGTTAGTGTCCCCCATAGCTAAATACACAAAGGTTACATACACAAATGATAAATGAAAACGTTTATAAAGCTTATAATGCTTCACTTGAACATTTTGTGTTAATTTGCATCCAAATTTATTCTCCGTATGTGTTCTTAATTTTGTTCGTCAATTGCTAGGATTTAACACGAATTAAATTTCCCTTTATTTTTTTTTTGTTCTTGATCTTTCTAGCCGAGCTCTTAATTTGGCAATTGCTAGGTTTTAAGATGAATGTAAATTATCTTTAATATTATATCCCGGGCAGAGTACGGCATGATATCTTTATTTTTTTTATTGTTCTTTTTATATTAGCTATTAAAAAAATAAAGCCACACGTTAGGTTAAGGCTTATTGAAATTGTATATAGCTACATTAAGTTTGTTTTTCATTATTTTGATTATACGTGTATTATGCATGTGGGCAACTTGCATGCATGGGCCACCCACTCTCTCTCTCTTTGGAAATAAGCTAGCTCCCCTCCTTGTAATGCATATATATATATGCCTCAGGTGTGTTTAATAAGTAGCACGAAGCATAATGCTCTTTATAAGAATTCCTCAATTCAAATTTCTCTAGTTTAATATTAGTTTTAACATGGTATCAGAGCCGAAATCCTGGAAAATACAAATTCTAGTTTTTCAGTCTTCCACGTTTTCTCTATGGCTGTCGCTGAAGTTAACTTTATGAATAGCTATGAAGCTATGAATTCTTCTTCTTCTTCTAGTGTCCAAGTAAATATGGCACACATATTGCCAAATATTCGTCCTTGGATAATTGATTCTGGAGCTACTGAACACATTACATGTGATGATATTAATCTTTTTAATATTATCACTCCCGCATCGGGACCATCTGTCAAAATTCCTAACGGTGAATCCATTCCGGTTCATGCTATGGGAAGTTTATACTTACCCAATGGGCTCCGTCTTGAACGTGTTCTATACATTCCAAAATTCCAATGCAACCTACTTTCAGTTAGTCGCTTAACAAGCGATCTAAATTGTACACTCACATTTTTTTCAGATTTTTGTATTTTACAGGACGCACCTTCGAGAAAGCTGATTGGTGTGGGTAAATTTCGTGATGGTCTCTATTACTTGGAGTCACCAAAAAGTGAACGGGTGGCAATGTCAGTCTCTGTTACTTCGGATTTATGGCATCAACGTTTGGGACATGCATCAGATGGAAAATTACACCACATTAGTTCTCTCAAGGGATTTCGAAGAAGCAATAATTTCTGTGATCCTTGCATTCGAGCTAAGCAGACTAGACTATCATTTCCTACAAGTGCCATTAAGACAACTCGTTGCTTCGAATTGATACATTGCGATATTTGGGGACCCTATAGATGTGATTCAATCTCCGGTGCACGGTATTTTCTATCTATCGTTGATGATTTTACCAGAGGGGTATGGGTTTATTTAATGAAAAATAAATCTGAAGTTTCTCAATTTTTAATCCAATTCTGCAACATGGTCAATACCCAATTTGAGCAAAAGGTAAAACGAATACGAGCTGATAATGGTGTAGAATTTCAGACCAACAATTTATTTGAGTATTATGGACGAAGTGGGATTTTATTGGAAACATCATGCACAGACACGCCACAACAAAATGGGGTTGTTGAGCGTAAGCATAGACATATATTAGAAATTGCAAGGGCACTACGTTTCCAGTCTGGATTACCAATTGATTTTTGGGGAGAATGCATTTTAACTGCTGTTTATATCATTAATAGGCTTCCCTCGCCTATTATTTTTAACAAAAGTCCTTTTGAGATGCTATTTGGGAAAGTGCCTAGCTATGATCATTTGCGTGTGTTCGGGTGTTTGGTGTACGCACATGACAATAAACGAAAAGATAAATTCGGTGAAAGGGGGAGTCCTTGTATTTTTATTGGATATCCATATGGTCAAAAGGCTTATTGAGTATTTGATTTGCAAAAACAAAATGTCTATAGCTC